GTAGCAAAAGTAAGCTTCTCACAATTAGTTCAAAATGTTGAAGATGGAGGTTTGAAAATGATTGAACCAACGCTGTTTGAACAATCCCTCAAACGTACATGGATGCAACTTCTTACAGATGACTCTTGGCAAGAAACTGCCTTAAAAACCATCAATGTAAGATCAAGAAATGATCTTTTTAGGTATGATTCAAAATCACTTACTTAACAAACTGAGTAACTATGAACCAAAGTTATCATCCTTCACTTACAAAGTTCTTCATAGATTTTTAGCAACTAATACATACTTAAAAATGTGTGGACTCATAGAGTCAAACATTTGCACTTTTTGTAAAGCAAATCCTGAAAGGATTGCCATCGTCTGTATGAATGTCAGAACTATTGTAAGTGCTTTATTAGATGACATTAAACAATGGCTCCCTTTAAAGCTCACATTGCTATGTACTAAGCAAAATGTATTGATAGGACCTGAGAGTATAAATGAAAAAACAATCATCCTAAATAATATGCTATGTATTTTTAAAAGGTATGTTTATTTGTGCAAATATTCTATGCTAAAACCAACACTTAAAGGTTTTATAAGTAATGTGAAGGAATATTTTATTATGGACAAACGGGTTGGCAGAGGCAATAAGTGGAAAATCATGGAAGCAAAATTAAACAAATCATACTGATGATTTTTTCCTTTAAATAAAAAAATGCCAGTGGTATAAAATTTCTTAAAGACTAACGTTTAACCAATACTGTATTGTAAAATTGTAAAATGTATGTTTACCATGTAACTGTAAATACAATTGTAATTGTTTTTCGCAATTGCTTTAACATGTTTTTTCTTTGAAATATAAAAAATAAATAAAAATAATAATAATTGTAAAATAGAAATTTCAAAAACACACTGTTTTGAAGGGAAAAATATGATCTTGCAAGACAGAACGAGAGAATAAAGTTATTTTATAAAATCTAGGAGTTAACTTTCAAGTCAGCTTAATATTTTAGATAATACCAACGCCAATTATAATTTCTCTAGTTGCAAACTATTGGAAATGTGAAATGATTCTGATAATTATATATTAAAACACTTCTAAAATCTTTAATAATTGCACTATAATTTTCAAAAACATACCATCTTAAAGCAAAAAATATGATTTTCCAGAAAATAATAATGTTCTTTCATAAAATGAAGAGTTTGATTTTCAACAGCCAGCAAAATATTTCAGATAATACCAAGGCTAAATATAATTTCTCTAGCGATTCTCTTGCAACCACTATTGCTGCTCCTAATTTCTACAGTAACTGCACATGCAGCAAAAACTTAAAGCAGAAAATATTTTTTTCAGTCAGAATGAATAAAAAGTAAAATAGATAATACAGGTAGCTTATATAATTGCTAATTTCTCTATTTGATGATGATGGTACTCGATTGCGCAGTCTTCTATTTTCTTATTAAAAATAAGTACCTTACTGATGAATTGAAGATATAAATATCCCTCCCCCTGGCCAAAAATTCTTTAAAACCATGCAGTTTTTCACCATTTTGAGCACTTCTCTCAAGTGATTTTAGCCATATTTGGGCCAAAATTGTCAAATGTGACCCCCCTGGAAATTTTTGAAAATTGCCAAAGCCTGGCTACGGGCCTGACATTTGTAGTCATTTATACATGGTAAAACTTGCCCTTTTCAAAGGATGCAAATTTGAGTACCATGATTGTCTTTTTCAAATATGTAAATATACTCGAAATAGTAGTGTATGGACAACGTATAGTACGGTCGCAGGGCAACGTTGCATCTGCTTTTGTAATCGGAAAAAACTACGCCCTCCGTAAGGAGACCGTACGGCGACCATGATACACCATTTAAAAGGCCGCACGGCAGCCGTGGTTTTTAAATTAATAAATTTCACCATGTGGTTGCCGTAGGAAATGTGACTGCAAAAGCATCTGACCGCAGAAATTCTACGGCGAGCGTAGAAATATTCACAGTGGCCATGGGCTTTCAATTGATTCAATTCGATTTAAATTGCATATATTGCAATTGGTTGCCATAGTAACACAACATATTGTATGTGAATCGTGGGTAGAGGTCATTTCAGGCAATCCTTGTTAATCTTAATCGTTTATTACATTCATCCTTAAGAACTGTTTTAGTGTTTTAGTGATCTTTTTTAACAAATACAGGTTTGGATAATATTAATATGCGTTTGCTATGGTAACACAACTAATAATGCTGTTTCTTGAAATACTGCTCTGTTTGTTCGTCTGCTGCCCATCTGTCTAAGCATTTCCTGACCTATTATCACCTATTAATCACAGATTGGTGTTATATGTGACAAAATGGTGATTCTTGACATCTTAGACTCAAGAAGATGTACCAACTTAGACCCTGTACGCTGTATCAATCTTAGATTATGGATATTCTACCCATTGTAGACTTTGGAGGATGTACCCATTAAACACTAGAGTCTACAACCTCTAAGACTCTAGAGGCTGTACCATCTTATATCTATTTATTAATCACATATTGATGTTATATGTGGCAAAATTGTGATTCTTGACATCTTAGACTCTAGAAGATTTATCAACTTAGACTACATAGGCTGTATCAATCCTAGATTATGGATGCTGTACCCATTGTAGACTCTGGATGATGTACCCATTAAACACTAGAAGCTCTGGAGGCTATACCCATTGTAGACTCTTGGAGGCTGTAGTACAGCCGCTGTACCCATTGTTCTGGAAGGTGTACCATCTTCTCTCGAAGGCTGTTCCAAGAACTCATCAAAGGTTCTGGAGGCTATACCATTTTTGACTCTGGAGACTATACCCATTGAAGACTCTGGAGGCGATATCATCCTAGTCTCTAGGAGGCTGTACCCATTGTAGACTATGGAGGCTATACCATATTAGGTTCTTGGAGGCTATACCATCTCAGACTCTTGTAGGTCGTACTATCTTAGACTCTTGGAGGCTGTACCTATCTTTGACTCTTGACTTTCATAGAAATCATAGACTATTGTGGCTGTACTATCTTTGGCCCTAGAGGCTGAATCCAAATTGGTCTCTGGAGGTTGAATTCATATTATACTCTGGATGTTGTACCATATTAGACTCTGTAGGCTGTATCAATTTTAAATTATAGAGGCTGGGTCATCTTAGACTCTTGGAATTGAAGGTTGTAGCCATTATAGAAGTAGATGTACCCATTAAACTCCTGAGGCCATATTAGACTCTTGTTAATATTAGTCATAGGCTATACAGGAAGTCTAGGAGGCCTGGAGATGGCAACGTTCGTCCAGTCTCAGTTAATTACAGTATTTCAACTTAAATGATCGGGGTGACATCTATAGATCAAGTCAAAAAACCTCTTGGGTGTTTTTGTAGAAATGTTTTGAGCTGCCATAAGGTATACGTAACCCTTTAAAGGAGTCTACAATGCTTTCCCCATTCCATCAAAGGTTGCAGCCAACTCAAACTTCAGTTTAAAAAATAACTCATGTTTAAAATGAACAAAATATTTATTGAAAATTTCAAAGCAACTTTAAAACAATAAAACCCAAAAAGGATAGGTACCATATGGTGAACTGAATTCAACAATGTTTTTCTCTTTAACCAATTATTGAAAATGTTCTGTAAAAACACGGTCCTTTATGTAATGTTGACTGACTGACAACAATTTAATGCGAAAATTATTTTGAAATATTTTATATAACTGTTTTTGTTAACATTTTTGGTTTTTTAGTGCAATTGTTTTTTGTTCCTTTTGACCAATTCTTGAGAATGAAATAAAATGTCTTTCCGAACCTTGTATGAACAAAATAGCATATACAACATTTTCTTTGATTGATTTAACAAAAAGTATTCAAAACATTAAAACAAAACCCCCCAAAATAGATAAAAATTAAGATAAACCTTTTATTTCATTAACAAGACACTTTTTTAAAATCAACCAAATTTTCGTTGCACAATTACAATATCGAGAGACCTAAAAACGTTGTGTTTATGTCGTTTTGTTCCAATGAGGTTCTGATAGATGTTTCATTTCATTTCGAACATATGATACCAAGAACAAAAAAAGTGTCTGATGTGTTTTCTAAAACAATAAAGAGAAGAGTATAAATATTTTTTTCAAATTATATTATTACCATTCAGAAGATGACCAATTTTCAGAATTTTTTGATGACTGGTTTAAGAGAAACATGTGTTCAAAAAGTTCACCATATCGATACCAACCCTTATAACGATAAACAGTTAATGGTTTTATACATTGTAATTCACTGTCTGGTGATCTCATTTAATCTTTTTAAGAGGTATGGTGTTAACAAGATACTAACCTGGTTGAAAATAATAAAATAGAAATTGATAGCATATGCTGTTACCATTCAAAATGGCCCCAATGGTTACTTCTAATACTAAACATTGTACTAAATTTCTATCAATTGGTTTTAAACAATCTTATCTCATGATATATTATATGGAGTATTGGGCAGGTCCACTAGTTATCAAAGTAAACCAAAACATGATCAGCTAATCCATGCATGGAATATTCCCTTGTTTAAGTAGTCGGGCCACCATAATGTCTGACTGAAATATGGGCTTGAGTATTTCCTCAAACCTCATATATTATTGTACTGGCAGCTTCACTAGTTATCAAAGTAAAAAGCAACATATAATCAGCTAATCCATGCATGGAATATTACCATGTTTAAGTAGTAGGGCACCATAATGTCTGACTGAAATATGGGCTTGAGTATTTCCTCAAACCTCATATATTGTTTTACTGGCAGCTCCACCAATTATCAAAGTAAACAGCAACATATAATCAGCTAATCCATGCATGGAATATTCCCTTGTTTAAGTAGTCAGGGCACCATAATGTCTGACTGAAATATGGGCTTGAGTATTTCCTCAAGCCTCATACATGTATATTATTGTACTGTCAACTCCACCAGTTATCAAAATAAACAGCGCCATAATTATTTAATCCACGCATGGAGTATTACCATGGTTAACTAGGTGGTGCACGATAATGTCTAACTGAAATATGAGGTCGCAGCATTTCCTCTACTGACGTATCTGTGTTACTAGCAGGTCCACCAGTCATCAAAGTAAACAATACAGTCAGTACGGCTATTCCAAACAATATACATGCCAGCAAAAAGCGCATTTGCTTCCCTGATTTGTCCCAACTGAACTTTGAGTTTATTAGTTCATGTCTTGGTTTTATCTTTGAGACTTTCTCAATAGATGTCTCTCTGCTCTCACTGCAAATACAAGGAACATAATGTTAATTGTCATCATATCATGGCAAGAACTACCTGCTACATACACTATCAAATAAAAAACATTTTTATCAGTATTAATTGAATATGCTGAGTTCATTTTCTGGAAATTTGGGAGAAAATCAAAATGAATTAAATAAAAAATAAGGAATATCGGAGTTATAAAAAACAATCGAAAAGATCAAAAACTGGGATTTCAACACTTTGAAATAATCTGGAGAAAATATTAAGTTTAAAGATGAATTGAGAAGAATATCAGGGCATGAACATCAAGGTTTACAAGGTAAACTGTCCTGACTTCAAGTGACCATCCATGTATGAATAACTATAGCTACAATAACATGCAAATACTTTCCAGTCCCATATTCTGGATATCTCATTGACTCGCATGTAATGAGAATCTCATAGTTTCAAGGACTCTCATTGCAAATACAACTAAATTCAATGATATTCTCATGGAATTACCAACAACCAGATTAGATTATTAACTTCAGTTTTTTGTACTAGGCTATACTACATTATTTTCCTTAAAATTGTATTTAATTATTTAGGACATGTATCTGTACTGTACATATAACATTTGAATGTTGATATCTGCCAGCCATCCTATCTTGTTTATCAAATAGATAATAAAGGAGAATTTGTATGTAGATCCTTGAAGTAAAACTATGCTCTTTGCATGCCAGTAGCGTTCCTAACTTCATATATTATGTGAAAAGAATATGTTTTGAAAAAATCATGGCCTACTCCATTAAGTTTTTTAAATGATAATAAACCATGAAATCTTGTTTCCACAGAACAATGTTGTGAGAAAGGTGTAACTTACAATGACCATAGCTCTGGTTTTACAAAAGTACTTAAATGTAAAAACAGATGTCCGAAACATCTCACGCTGTTCTTACAAGAGTAACTTTTTTCTCAGCTTAATATTTGCACGAAAGAAGCTTTATATATCATATTCAACTGACTATGAGATTGACATATTCCAAGGATCTTTTTTATGTTTTATTTTCCTTTTTGCTCCTCAATACGCATTGTCAGCCTTTAATGAAATCTTATCGAGCTTCCATTTCAAACTAATGATGAACATAACATTACAAGATGGGGCAATATGACATCAAAGGAAGGGGGATGGGCACCTTGATGGAAGACTTTAATTATAGAGTTGAAATAGATGTAAGAGTATTTAAGATATCTTACCAAGCTTCCATCTGCTCTGCTATCTCACTCTGATCCATGAGGTCTTCTAGGGTATCACAGAATACTTTCTGTTGTTCTCTCAAGTCTTCTAAATCCTGAGACACCTTGGCTTTAATTCCCTCTTCGTAGCTACAATAGTCAAACAATAATAGCGTATCTATACATGTACATGTAATTTAGTGAATGAGACTTGATAAGATTTATGATATATAAAATGTGACTCGATTGCAATGCTTCAATTAATGCTAGTCTTATATGATTCATAATAATATTCTTTTCAAAGGGTCAAAGGCTCATGCATTTTTGAAGCATTTGTGAGATTTGAATATCTATGTGAATTCTTACCCTTTTTGAAATATTTCTTCCTCATTACAGTTAGCTTTATGATCAATGGACTTATCAGAACCATCCTTGGAGTAGGTGACTGACCGTCTCACTAAAGTTGTACCTTGTGAAGTTGGGGAAGCTAGAGTTGAGCTTGATATGGTGTCAATGGAGGCGCTTGTAGACCCATTTGAACTGAAACAAGAAATGCAAAACTTGTATTGAATCTATTTAAGATAATGGCAATTTAGGAAAACATTAATTATACTTGTTGCAAATATTAAACAAAAATTCATCTGGGGGCATTTTGTTTTCTTAACATACATACATACATACTTTTTGAGGACGCAATATGATTCATTTCAGGCTTAAGAATAATAGTTTAACAGACAAATAAATACAAACAAATTAACTGCTCTGCAAATCAAACAAGGTATTAAAATGCAAAATGTCACCGCCTGCCATTTGTTACAGATGCCAATTGATGAACACTTACCACCAAACGTGGTGGTGACTTAAAAACACAATATATAATGGTGCTTTATCTTCAGAACAAGAATTATCATGGTAAGGTGATACATCGTTGCAGAATTTGGTTTATGTATCACAAACAGTTATGACTTACACAACTACTGGCTGAAGGGATTCCTTGATATCATTGGGGTTGAGCTCCTGTGTTTTCTCTAGAGTAGGACTAGATAATATGGGGGACAGTTCGGACTGTCCTGTTGGACTACTGTCTCCTTTATCTGCCATAGAAGCCCGTCTCACAACACTAAAGATGGAGTTCTTGTTACCTGCTGAGGTAGATGCTACTATGCTCTGACTTTTTGGATCCTAAAAAGTCAAAAGTTTTTGGGTTTTTAATTTCTTATAAATTTTCTATTTATTCAGTGATCTTCTGACGTTTTTTCGCGTTTTTTCTCAACAGGGATTTCACACCTATCTTATACTTTTTGGATAACATGTAAATAATTAATCTTTTTGATAGGGTGCAAAAAGATTTTGAACAGGGTAGCGTGTCATTTTTGAATTTCTAATGAGGTGCAATGCTGGACATATCATTGTTATTCATATATAATAGTTGCAATGACTCAAAAGTTCACTGAAGAATTTAAGTTATTTTTGTTGTAATCATTATACATACATACTATTTATAAATGAAATCACTTTTGTTATTGGCTACAAAATGAAAGTTTTGGATTTAATAGGTAAATGATATCATCAGAATCATTGCTGTATATGTAAAATATAAAACATTAGAAAATATATTTATGTTGCAAGCGGGTGAAACATGAGCTCTTACATTTGAGACACTGGCCTGTCTTCCTAAAGCACCCACCGCTACGCTAGCACGCCTTCTAGTTTCCTAAACAATGAACAACACAAAATATACTACATGTACAGGGTGTTTCATAAAGACCATCCTCTCCATCTACTGAGCCTATTCTAAATCACCTGGTCCCTAGCTTTTTCAATTCTGGACTTATTCGTCAAATATAAAGTTAAAATAAGCAGGTATTCATATTTCAAGGCTTCCCAATATGTACATCAATGAGAAATAACAAAATTGGAACCTTATAATAAGTTCACATTGAGAAAGGTGTTTGGATATACAGGTTTCACTGTAGTTTAACAACAAAATCAAAAGAACAACAGTGATATGAATACAATTCTCCACAAACATTTTTTTTTTTCTTTTCACAACCTTTATTTTACTAAACAGGACGTTTCGGATCCTGTCTGGATCCTTTTTCAACTGTAAAAAATGAACTGAAGCGCTACAAAACAACTAAATAAAAAAAAATACGTCATATTAGTTTACCAAAAGAAGAAAAAATATTTTTGTGATTTGATAATCCAACCTGAAGAACATGTTTAAGACTACAATACTGCAACATTGACAATACTGATTTATAGTACTGTCTTATCACCCACCATGTGGTGGAAGAGGTAGCGACAGTAATGTCAAGGTATGTTTTGATTTTCCAGAGCTAATATGTGAAGAAACTGCAGAGAAAGTGTTTTCGCATGGGTAACTAATCAAAAAACAAAAAACTAAAAGTATAATCATTATGAAATATGCCACAACTGTAACCAGATGGATTGACAAACAAACAGATATTTTGTCATATGAAAATACTAAGATTTATAGAAAAACAGCCATCTTTTTATTTTCTTGTGAATCAGAAAAGATTCAATCAAGAACCTTTCCTTTATACCTAGGCCAATCTATATCACTAATAGAAAATTATAAATGCAGTAAATATGTAGATATTGAAACCTGAACTCAATAACCATTCACAAAAAGGCTGTCAAATGAGATAATGTTTGACTGAATTCTGTCACAATAGTGAAGCGCTTATTTTTACAATGTACCTTGAGACTAGTGGCTCCCTCTGTCACCGACATAGACCTCTTACCAATAGTGCATTCCCCTGCTGTAAAACAATCACACACGTTTATGTAATCTGATTATGCTCACATAAACTAATCACTGTAAAAGCCCGAATTTTCAATGTGCCCTAATTTTTACTATTTTTGCTAAAAGGTGTGAAATTAAGGGCACAGTGAATGTTTGATTTAACATTGAATTCATTTGGATATTTCTTCAAACAGTGGAATTTAATGCCCATGTAACATTTCAGATTGACAAAATCGTGAAATTTTTGTCATGTCAAATATGATAGCCATTTTGATTTAAACAGCCATATTGGAAATTGATTCTCAAGCAGAGGTCCTATGCCCATTTGGCATCAGCCTCTAAAGTTTGAATTAAATCTGTCCACTGGTATTTGAGTTATCCGCTTGAAAGGTAAACAGCTTTTCTATATCCCTACTCAAACTTCATTCGGTGTAATCTAGTGGGATTATTAGTAGGAGGGAGAAGATGCATGACTAAGTCCCCATATATTCACCTATGTCTGGGCTTGTTGAAGGAGTATAGAGGTTGTTCTCTTGTAGGATCCTCCTTGTCTCCTCCAGTTCATGGTGTTCTCTCTCGTACAATCTCTTCAGGTTCTCAGTATGTTGAACCATAACCTGAACAAATGAAAACATATGCCTACATTATAATTAAATCATTACATATTAATTATAAACATACTTTAGTATCATGTATATGATCACATTGTTAAAGGTTGTTCCTGGAATACATTTTGAATTTGTTTCTCAATTTTAAGACCTGTGTAAGTGGAACACTTTCATCACTTACAGGTGTTCTGTGTAAGTGGAACACTTTCATCACTTACAAGTGTTCTGTGTAAGTGGAACACTTTCATCACTTACAGGTGTTCTGTGTAAGTGGAACACTTTCATCACTTACAGGTGTTCTGTGTAAGTGGAACACTTTCATCACTTACAGGTGTTCTGTGTAAGTGGAACACTTTCATCACTTACAGGTGTTCTGTGTAAGTGGAACACTTTCATCACTTACAGGTGTTCTGTGTAAGTGGAACACTTTCATCACTTACAGGTGTTCTGTGTAAGTGGAACACTTTCATCACTTACAGATGTTCCACTTACACAGGTTTTTATGTACCAGTTAAATGGCATTGTGCTATATCACTGGACTTTCTCAAAACAATAATAAAAATGACTTTTTCTGAAAATGTATATGTACCTCATTGTATCAAAAACTTGTGTTTCCTTTTCTCTTAGTCAAAAATCCAAACAATTGGGGAAGTCTAGTTTGGAATAGAACATAGAATTGATGAAAAACTGTAAAACTATGCAATCAAATTATATACCTCAATTGCACTGCTGAGACGTCTCTCTTGGTGTACTGACTCTAAGACCTCTGCCCTACTAGACATCCTATTTGTAGACTGGGCTAGTACTTCCATGTGATACTGGAGTCTCTGGTAGATCTGAACACTCTCATTCTCCATACACATTGTATGTAATGACTGAAAATATATACATATTGTATTGTATTGAAGAAGAAACTCCACGGAGTAGCAAATCCCACTGAACAAAACATATTTTGATAATTAGTGGCCATCTTGAACATTTCATCTTGCACTTGCTGCCATCTTGAACAGAGCATATCAGTATATCAAATTTGAACCAAATCTATCCGCTGGTATATGAGTTATCAAAGATTATGTTTTTACTGAAAAATTGTGGCCATTTTGAAATTCAGCTGCCATCTTAAAAGTTTTTTCTTAAGAGTTCCTTTGTCCCAAAGTAGCAGCATATAAAATTTGAACCAAATTCATCAAGTGGTATTTTTAATGACAAATGGCCTCCGTTTTGATAAATAATGGAAATTTTGAAAATAACTTCTTGAGCAGAGCATATAAAATTTGACCCAAATCAATCCACTGGTATTTGAGTTATCAAAAAATGCTTCCATTTTGAAATTCTGTTATCATCTAGAAAATTTTCTCTTGAGCAGAGTTCCTTTGTCCCTAGGCATCAGCATATAAAATTCACTAGTAAGTATTTGAGTTATCAAACATTTTGTTTTTTTAACGAAAAATGGTGGCCATTTTGAAAAGCTGCCATCTTGAAAATCCTTTCTCAAACAGAGCTACTGTGTCTTTAGCATCAGCATATAAAGCTTTAACCTAATCCGTTCACTTCACTGAATTTGAGTTATCAAACATTAGATATTTTTACAAAAAATGGTGGACATTTTGAAATTCAGCAGCCATCTTGATAACTTCTTCTTAAGCAGACCTCCTGTGTCCACAGGCATCAACATATAAAATTTAGACCAAATCCATCAACTACTATTTGAGTTTACATTTTTTTACGAAAAATTATGGCCATATTGAGAATTCCCTCTCGAGCAGAGGTTCTACACCAATAAGGCATAAGCCCATAAAATTTATGTCAAATTCGTCAAACCATATTTGAGTTATAGCAATGACGCACAAACGAACGAAGGGATGGATGGATGGACGGCTTTCCAATATCCCCCTCGAACTTTGTTTGGTGGGATAATAAGGAGGATGAATTCCTCATTTTACATACCTCTAATTGTTCAGCTTTCTTCTTCTCTTGTGCAATTACCTCCTTTGACTTGATCAGCTCCTCCTGAACATCTGACATATCTCCTGAAATATGAAATGTGATAAAAAAGTTTGGAATAAAATACAATTCATAACATTACTCATATTAGCAAAACAAGTATTCTATTCATTATCTTTGAAGTAATCTTGTTTTCTGAGCATTATAATTACCTTTTACTTTGGTGCACTGCTCAGTCAGCTCTGTATTGGACCTGAAAGCATATACAGTCTGAAGATGAAATAAGCTAGAATGATAGAACAATTTATTATCTGATACATCAATCTGGAGTGAATTCAGTCTTGAAAATACATTATGGAATGCCTTAAAACAATCAAAACACGAAGGGCAATATCACTCAAGCACAGCAAATACACCCAAGGATCAATATTGCATTTGAATTTCAAAACACCAAGCACACAAAAAACAATCAGCTCACATAGGCCTTTAAAGGTGACTGGCAAAATGTTAATACATAATATATCCAAAATTAACTTAATAACAGCAATGCAAAGGTGTATTAAATCCCATCGAACAGCCATTGCTGTCAATACTTTTTAAATTACACAGAAACGTAAATATGGTGGCCATATATTTTCAAAATAGGTGCTCACTGGCCAAATTGTCTGAGGAAAGTGTAATATGCTTCTACAGGGTGGGCCAGTAAAAATTGTTCATGATCTGTATACTGCGTGACTGTCATGAAAATTTTTCAAATTTTTTCTGCTTGAGACATCAATGCTGAAAATACAGTATCTCATACCATACAATATATGCCCTTCAAATGGTCTCAACACAATTTCCATCAATTGAAACATGTATATGTATTTATCTCTAGGAGAAGCAAGACATGTCTCCTTTGGACAATATAGCTTATAACTGACCTCAGCCTTTTTCAAAACTGGCACAATATGTCTCAAACCTATCATCAAAGCCATACATGACTGTCAAATATAGCTCAGACTGATTGTTCAGGTGGGTGGAGGACATGTTCAGTAATTAAATGTTGAGCTTGTATATTCATATTTACACAAGCTGTAACAATGAATTGTTTTTCAATTTCCTAAAGTATTGAAGATAATACATGACTAACAAAAAAAGTTACAATCAATGGAAAAATGTTCAAATTTTTTTCTCAATGCAAGGGTTTCCTGAACAATCAGTCTGAGATGTATTTGACAATCATACTTAAATGACAGGTTTTGAGACATATTGTGCCAGTTTAAAAAAAACTGAGGTCAGTTAATTAAGCTATATTGTCCAAGGGAGACATGTCTTGCTTCTCCTAGAGATAACTACATATGTTTTAATTGATGGAAATTGTGTTGAGACCATTTGAAGGATACATATTGTGTATTTTCAGCAGTGATGTCCCAAGCTTACAAAAATTTTCATGACACATGCAGAATACAGATCATGACAACGTCAAGCCAAAGATAATCATATACATACATATTTCTATCTTTAACATTTTCACAAATAATCATTTTACCATTAACTGAATTTTTGTGGATTGAACTGCAAAAATAAAGACAATTGAACAAATAAAAAAACGTTCCAATTTTTATTGGCCCACACTGTAAGTCGTCAAATAAAAAGTTTCAACAAAATCACTCCACCACTTAACAAGCTTTAATAAAAAACGTAATAGTATTAACACACATAAAAAAAGCGGCAATTTTTCATTCAAAATGGCAGGCTGTCTAGCAAAATTGTCATAAGACAGTGTACATGCTTTAAAATTGATACTGTTTATATGCAGGCCTGGAGGTCCATTTTTAGTGTTTTTTCCAAATACACATCTATATAAACCAATTGTGAGAAAACAATTCTATAAGTAGAACAAAGAACACCTCAATAAGTGGAACACTTTTCCAAATTCTCTTTATATGGACCTCTCTAAGTAGAACTCCTAAATAAGTTGAACACTTTTTAGAGTCCTCTTTAAATAAAATGAACCTTCTTAATTATAGAACACATCAAAAGTGGAACCATATTTTAGGTACCAAAGGTGTCTCACTTATACAGGTTTTACTGTATACAGCTGCTTACCTCTTCAGATCTGAATGCTCAACTTCCATCTTTCTGTACTGATATTGAAGATCAGTGTAGGCTTTGCTGATTGAGTTGTATTTATCTTGAGAAACCCTCAGATCTTTGGAAATTGACTGCAACTAGAAATAAACATAAACGCTGTATATTGATCCAGGATCTCTCCAACATTAAAGCGTTTTGGTGCTCCATCCAGTTTAGTTGAGAATTTGGAGTCCTGAAAAATTTAGTAATGATTTGTTTTTATACCTGTAGGGCAGTAGCCAATTGCCAAAAAAGTTGCATAAAAGCGCAGTTTAATTTCCAAAATACCTTGGATAAATTATATACCGTTGGAAAGCTTATACTTGGGTATATGGAACTAGAGCTAAATAACGATTCAGAGTTGTACGTTTTTTTTTAGGAAACGCTATTGTAGCAGGTGCTTGTTACTAATGGGGATATGATTTTCACCTTTATGTACATAACAGTTTTGTTCTGATTTTAATTTGGTTTGCATCATTTTAAAGCTCATTTGCATATCTACACTATGTTGACTATATGACTTGTAATAAACCCCACTTACAGATAGCAACACAATAGAATGAGCTGTGATTTCACTGTAGGTCAAGTAAAGGTCACATCTCATAACTAATGTCACATTTGAACTGAGAACTTGTAGATGATTTAAAAAAAGAATTGGGTCAAATCGAAGCAAGTTGAAAAACAAGGCATTAAAAATGACAAAATGTCGCCACCTAGCTGCTCACGATATTATTAGTTCAATCTTAGTCAGATTTGAACTTCTGAGAACTTGTAGATGATTTTGAAAAAAAAATTGGTAAATTTGAAGCAAGTCTTCCAAAAAATCTATTTCAAGACTTGTTTGATATCAACATTAATATTCATCATCATTACACAAGACAATTGCATTATTTTCATATCCCTAAATGCTCTAAACTTTCCCTTCGCTATCTAGGTCCTAATCTTTGGAATGCTCTACCACATGATATTAAAAAATGCTCCACTCTAAATATTTTCAAATCTTCATATAAAAAACTACTCATCTATCGATAATGTATAATACCAATATCATACTATACTGTTGATTTTATACTGATACCTGATTTTTGTAACATTTTTACATTGTACATCCTTAGATTAATTGTTAATACCATTTTTATATACCTACATGTAACATAATATAAGTGTTTTCTTTTATATGTAGTCTAGATGTCATTTTAATGATTTCTGTTAAACCGCAACATATACCCACTAGGGTGTCTAGCGGCTTGTTTTTATAGTGTATATTATATAAGAATTATGAAATAAATTGAATTGAATTGAATTGAATTGACCTTGAAACGGTCACTGAAGGTCAAATCTTAAATATAAAGTAAAATTTGAACTTCTGAAAACTTGTAGATGATTTTGAAAAAAACTGAAGTCAGTCTAAATACTTATTTGTTAAGTAATTGGAAGTTTTAATAATTTGTTACAGATGCCAACCGCCACCCGCCGATCACCAAGCGCCGATTGCCGTCACTAAAAAACAGAGACCATAACAATACTTTTTGGTAGTCACATAATTTTTACCCTTTTTGACTTCAAATATCTCAAAATTGGTAAAAACGTAATGCTGGCATATTGAGCAATTTGTAGAGAATATGTTTTTATCATTCATTTACTACTTGTCATGACAGAGATTTTTGAAAAAACAATTGTCAGCTTTTCATTTCTCAAATATTCAAATCCATTTTTCAAATACGTAAAGTTGAAATTTTTTAATCATCAAATATTCCACTATACAGTGCAAAATCATATCTTTTTAACACCAATGCAAAGATTGAACAGAGGACATACTTTTTCAATAATAAAATGTCATATCAAATGTGCCACTTCAATGTTTTAGAATATCAAAAATATTTAACAACCTAAGTGACATCAATCATCGTGACATCAATCATCGTGACATCACTCAAGTTGCAAAAACTTCCAAAATAAACCAATGTTGATTGTCTAACCAGTTTAAAGGGAAGAATATCAGCAGCCCTCCTATCTTTTGTTTCATTGCAAGGCATTCTACCATTTACAGGTGACATCCAGGTTATGATGAATATTGTACTTTATTGTTTATTTATATAAGGGGACATCTAATGCTTACAGCGCTTTGCCCCTTGTAATTGTATCTAAATGACTTGTGCTTACAATAAATATGAAAGATGATAAAAAAAAAAATATTATGTCTTAAATATCAATGTACAATTGGTTTCTATGAGAACTAGAATTTTAAAATGTATTTTCTCTGAACCATTTTCATGCATTGATGACTACATTTCTCACCTCTTTATGAACCAATTTTCCTCATTTTTTCAGCAGAAAACATATGAGAATGAATGCTATGTATTGGTGTGAATTATCCTTATTAAAAAAACATGTGACCTAGTTTTACATTAATTCACAATTTTTCGTACAAAAAGTCCTTCAAAAACCATGTTTTGAAATAAAACAAAATATATACGATATTATAAAGATACATGTATATAGACAGACAGAAGTTTAAGGATATAAGTCTCAAATGAAAGCAAATTAATTTACAAATACAATATTTTTGAGTTCTTTTACGAATTTGATAGGTATTGGTGATAATATAGCCTAAATAACGCGGAGAAATCTGCATCAAATAGTTAATATTTACTCATTTCAAGACATTTTTGGGATAATGCCTATTATAAGCTAAAATTATCATGAAATGATCAAGAATGATGTTGTACTTATATAACTTAACTTAACTGACATTCTGAATGGCAGACAATGCAATAATAGACGACAGAAGAGGAAATTATGGAAATGTATTCCATATCATGGGTTATGGCAAAATTTCAACTTAGTTTCTTTGCAAAACATGTTTGAAGCAAATATCCATTTCAATCTTACTTTATAACAGACTACAATGCATAAAATAGGTTCCATGATTATTTTAGAGCTACAGTGTATAAAATGATTTACTTGACTCCAATAGCTTTTCTTCATATGTAAAGGCCTAAAAGTGTTGATTAAGCAATGCAATAGTATGTATTAAGCTCAAAACATATAGCGAAATGTTGTTTTTGACTATTACTACCCCATGATACGGAAATGACCATAGAGTCACCAATAGCCATTCATATTTTATGAATCAAACATCACTTTGTTGGAAACTGAATTATCTTTCAAATGATATTAAATTTATGAATATCTTTAACATACCAGCGAAGATATTACAAAAAAAAATATGGACATTTTTATTGGCCCACCCTGTACATCTTTTCATCAAAATTGAGTAAAATTGATGTCTCTGTTAATGTACATGTACCTGTCACCAAGTTGCTTTGGCAATTATTATGCCATTGCTTGGATCATGAACTTTGAAAGCTTCAAAATAAATAGTTGTCTCATGTCATTCAGCCGATGTTTAACAAATGGGCCATCATTCAAATTTGATCTGATATATCCCTTAGAAAAAAACAACCATTTTTTCTGAATTTCAACCGTTAAAAGCCATTACATAACTTAAAAATCATTGCGTAACCATTACTGCAACCATTTGAAATGGTTTCCAACCATAACATATCAACCATTAAAATTTGGTTGAAAACTTTGGTTGCATATCATTGAAATTATGCAATCATTTGCAACCATTACAAACCATTGTTTCAGTTGCATTTTACCAAGTGGTTGCAACTATTTCAACCATATTATGGACATTACTGTATTTAGTTTAAGAATAAGATGATTTATAATATGAAAAAACATGTATCAAATGAATTGAATGCATGATTTTGTTATTAAATACAGTTGTTCATGCTTATTGGCATTTCATTTCGAGGGGGGGAGTTACAGTTGATTGTATGTATTTATTTATGGAACTTACATATGGCCAGTATCTTTCCAGGTATAGTCTAATCTAATAATCAATTAAAGAGAATAAGGCTTATTCATTTTTGACATTAGACATGATTTCAAGTTCGTGCTCATAGGCATATTATTTCTATTCTAATTAATTAAAGAGAGTAAAGTTTATTCATTTTTGGCACAGAATATGACTTCAAGTTCATGCTCATAGGCATATTATTTCTATTCTAATTAATTAAAGAGAGTAAAGTTTATTCATTTTTGGCACAGAATATGACTTCAAGTTCATGCTCATAGGCATATTATTTCTATTCTAATTAATTAAAGAGAGTAAAGTTTATTCATTTTTGGCACAGAATATGACTTCAAGTTCATGCTCATAGGCATATTATTTCTATTCTAATTAATTAAAGAGAGTAAAGTTTATTCATTTTTGGCACTGAATATGACTTCAAGTTCATGCTCATAGGCATATTATTTCTATTCTAATTAATTAAAGAGAGTAAAGTTTATTCATTTTTGGCACTGAATATGACTTCAAGTTCATGCTCATAGGCATATTATTTCTACTGATTTGAAGAGAATAAGGTTTATTTATTTTTAGCACTGAATATGACTTCAAGTTCATGCTCATATCAAAGTATGTATTTCCACCTGCCTATTGTTTATGATTTGAATTAGTGCCAAAATAACTGCTTCTTCAATATCAAAGAAGTCTTATTACAACAATTAAGTAGATTAAACTGAAAATGTATCCAAAACATGATTTTTGAAACATCAACAGTATTTGTGCTTTGGATTAGGAAAGAGCCGGATTGACTGTATCATTTATGAATTGAAAAATGTTAATTAATATTGGATTAAATTCAAGATGAGTTACAGAAGAGATACCTTCATATAAAGTCTCTGCTAAGCAAAAGACTAGATGCAAGTATAAATGATTTTGATTTTAATAATTTAATATTCATAATTCAATCATTTAATACTCATAATTCACAGTGTATATCAAACAAAGGTGTCCAGTATACTGAACCATGGGAAATGTTGATGTTTCTCAAAAGCATAGGCTAAGGGTTAAGTAATAGTAAGCTGCTTCTATATACAGCTTACTATTACTTAAAGACCGTGCTCGAGTACCCCCCTCCCTGCAGCCCATTAAGGAAATTAGATAGATTAAATAAGCCTATGCTCAAAAGCACCATACAAATTAATTTACAACACACTGCCACACTGGGTGATTTTAAATACATCTGCTGCCTGCTGAAAAGTTCATAGTTCAGTACAAAAGTGAATAGCTTAAAGTAACCAGTGTCCAAAGGCAGCATTATAGTGCCAATAGTGTCACACAGACACTTAAAAGGATCAAGAAGAAGTTAAAAGCTGAGGTTTAGTTTCAGGATGCACAATACAATATGGTGAACAACAAATACAAAATAACATTCATGTTCAAAATTTGAAAACAGTAATATAAAATAATAACAAGTGAGAACAAAAGAACTATTGAAAAATGCCTGATATTTTCAAAATACAAAAAGTCAATATGCAAAAATATATTTCTCTTATGGCAGGAATACTTGGTGTGATCATGTCAGGAATGTTATATAGTTTTAACACATATGCACTTTCCTTGAAAAATACATTCAACTACACACAGATAGAAGTGGAGTATATAGCATCAAGTGCGGACATAGGCCAGTGCTTTATGATTCCAGCGGGATTTGTATTTGACAGATTTGGACCAAGACCTTCTTGTATACTTTCTCTAATTTTCACTGGAGTTGGATTTATCGTATTATGGATGACGACAATGTTTTACACATTTTTTGCAGCTAATGCTTGGCTGCAGGTTCTCATTTATTTTGCTACATTATTTGGAACGTCATTTCTGTACTTAACAAGTATAGGAGTAAACAGTAAGAACTTTGAAGGGACACAAAGAGTTTGGGTACAGGTGATTCTTGGTTGCGTATTTGGGATTGCCCCAGCTCTGTTTAGCGCCATCTATCAAGGATTGTTTGTACAAGGCCACATAAAAGATGCTGAGAATCAAAAGTATGGAGATTATATGCTATTTCTAGCTGTGCTCTCGATGATCATTAATTTGTTATGCATTGTGTTTCTAAAGGAAATTCCAGCAAAGGAAACATTCAAAACGGATGAAAGTGATTTAAACGAGCTGTTCAAAAGTTTTGAACAAGACAGAGTCATGGAAGAAACTGATGACAGCATAGATGACAAACACTTCAATGAAAAGGATGAATTGATTGCAAATGCAAATTGCAAAGACAGTACTGCTTGTTCACTTGACCTGAATTTCTGGCAAATGATACAAACATTGCAATTTTATTACCTCTTTCTGATAATTATGATTCTAGGTGGAATTGGTGTTACGTTTATGAACAACATCGCCATAGTCTTGAAATCAGTTCATCGAGAGTATGACATTGCAGTTTTTACTATTTGCCTTCCAATATTCGGTTCATTAGGGAAAATTGTTGTAACACTGATGACAAATTATATCCTCCTAAAATGGGATAATATTCCTAAGTCGATATATCCACTCCCTTGCTCATTATTAATGTGCTTTGGGCTAATTGTTATAATTTTCTCCAACCAGGGATTCTTTGGGTTGTTCATCAGTACAATTTTGACTGGACTTTCATATGGGGCACTTTATGTGCAAATACAATGTCTCTCTATTGAATTATTTGGAATCAAATATTTTGGTCAAAACTATGGAGTTCTTGTCTTTGCACAAACCATTGGAATGTTCGGATTTCAACAATTGTTTGGATTTAGTTATAAACTGAACAGCCCGCCAGGATCAAATGAGTGCTTTGGACAATTTTGCTTCAAGTGGACATTTGTTTTACTAGCAATTTTATGCTTTTGTGCATTGTTTTTAAACATTTGTCTCATCAAAATTGAAAGAGATGCCAGTATGAAGCGAAAAGAATCCAAGCAAATCTACAATTCAATGTCTAATATATCAGAATAGTACCAGTTTAGCCTAATAAAAGTTTGACATAATCTCCATGATCTCCCCAGCATTATAGCAAGCGGGCGCTTGCACCCATCTGAAAATACATTTGCACCCACTTGAAAATTAGAAAAATCAATTTTGGTATAAATTGTGAAAATGAGAATTTTGCACCTACCTGAGAAAAAAACCTAGGGAGACCACTTATCTACATTTTAACAGTTATCTGAAATATTGCATTTTGAAATGTTGATTTGTATGCTAATGAATGATAGAAATAGATTTAAAAAAACAAAAAAAGACATTTTCACAGTTTTATTTGAGAAATCCTAAATGTGAGAATGGAGATGCCTGACAATTCCAGATGGTTGTACTTTTATAAAGTACTGAACGTTTTCGATACTTTTTACTTTGTGGAATCTTGTTAGGTTTTTCAGAAGAAAAATTTTTGGGAAAAAATCTGGAAAACCTGGAAAAAAATATTTTATTTAAATCTAACATTGTCAGGTTATTTTTATGGTGATTTGACATCAGATAATATGTACCGGTTATCTAGTGCATTATATGAGGAATAAGGCATTAACATGACGAAATGTCATCCAACATCATAAAATTTGAATCTAATAAAATATCGTTCAAATTCCAAACAGTGTCTAATTAACTCAAAATTTCCCTCTCCCTATGGCCCTGAAATGTACATTATCACAACTGAACAGTCAAATTGCTAAGAATCACTTAGACATGGGATAGATTACCTTACTATCATGTGTCATATATTTCATTACCTTATTCTCCAACTCTGTCACATATTTCATTACCTTATTCTCCAACTCTGTCACATATTTCATTACCTTATTCTCCAAGTCTGTCACATATTTCATTACCTTATTCTCCAAGTCTGTCACATATTTCATTACCTTATTCTCCAAGTCTGTCACATATTTCTAAGTCTGTCACATATTTCATTACCTCATTCTCCAAGTCTGTCACATATTTCATTACCTTATTCTCCAAGTCTGTCACATATTTTCTTTCTGCCTCTAACTGTGTTGCTAATGAACCCAGTCTCTGCTCTATACTGTTGTCAAAATCAAAGGTCTCCTCTAACTTACGTATGCTAGCCTCATGTTCTAATCTTTGGGTCTCATTGCGGTCTAGAATTAAATAAAGAATAGTGAGATGAAATATATGCAGGTTGTACACCTTTTTTATAAAGATTTTACACATATTTAAAGGCAAGAAGATATGATACTGTATATGTATAACTGAAAAATAATGAAAACTTTGATAAGCTTGAATATATTTTGAATCATGGAATGAATTCTAGGTTATATTCAAATGTCCCATTATCAATTCCACACTAAATTACTACATTCTTTGTGGATAGGTCCAAAGCTTGATTAAACAAGATGCAAGTATGCGCAATTTATATCCAACCAAATAAAAATGCCATATTCAACTGACCTTTCAATCTTCTTACAACATTTGCAAGTTTCTCAGCTCTTCTGTCTGACATCTGCTTGGCTCTGTCCAGTGCAGCAACTTGAACCGCAAACCCTTCTAGTTCCTCTTTCAGTCTTTGTTGCACCACCTTGGGGGAGGGGGCTACATCTTGATTAACACTTTTCACACCCACTGGCAACTTGCCACTCCCACTTTCAATTTTAGCTCCTCCTACTTGTAGTTTCTTAATTCCCTTGTGTAAAGGGGAGGATAATGGAGATTTCCCAATGTTGCCAGAAATGGTCATCTTGGGAGAGGGATGTGGGGATTTTGATGGGTTATTCAATAGCCTAGGTGATGATGCTAGGTTGCTGGGTAACCTTGGAGATCTTGGCAGGTTGCTAGGAAACCTAGGAGATCTAGGTATGTTGCTAGGCAACCTAGAAGACAATACAGGTGAGTTGGGTCTGAATGTGGAGAGCTGTTGGATTTGTTCAAGCACAAACTCCTTTTTCTTGTTAAACTGGCTAGTCTGAAAAAACACAATTGCGTACATATAGATATATTCAAAACATATTCTAGCACAAGTGCCAAATGGAAAAAACAGAAATGTGTTGCAAAACAGAGCACAATCAGTAGTCATAAGGAAAACAATCCTTAAATATCCCAACCTATGATATATTATGTAAGGAAACCATGTCTAATACCACTCTCCCTTGTCATTCAGAAACCATTATCACAATCCATTGAGTCCAAGACATCCATGAACATTGAACCATTCAACCTACAATTATATAAACAAGAAATTGCTTCTTGTTTCATATCAAGTCATTGTGTCTCGGCTTCCCGGAATGAATTCAGTGACATCACATTAATTTTCATGAGTATTGTCAGTTTCAGAAAATATTTGTGCAAAAGCTTTGAAGTTTGTCAATAGAACATATATTCTTATTGATTGTGCAAATATATGTCCACAAGAATATCAAATACAGCTGAAATATTGCGTTTAAAATTGGACCCTGTATATTTCAATGGAACAGAACCTGGATGTAACAAAATCTGTACCCAACATGAGAGCCCTTCAAAACAGGAGGTAATTGTCGTTCTAAACTATCAGATATTCACAACGGTAAAGTCAGGTACCGTTGTCACAAATGGTGGACATAACCGTCGCTTCAATTAGATTTTCATGAACTGTACAGTGTATGTTTAAAGAGCACCTAGATTAAATTCCTTTTCTACAACAATCAATCAAAGTGTCTTAATACTCATTGTACAGTTAATAATGTTCTACCATCGAAATAAAGTCTTTAATTTAACTGATCAAAATGAGATACGGGACAACGGACACTGTAATTACCATAAGCCGTTGTCTTTCTAAATTATTCAGATTTAGATGCCGTACGTTGGCATTGACAATATCCAAGTTGCTATATTGTGGCGATTCACAACCCAATTTGATCGAAATTGCGATTTCATATGAAACATCATCGCAATAGCTTACAGTAATACATGCACAGAATTAGCGACGATAAAATCCCAAGAAATGAGGATCAAGTGATTAAACAGTTGAAGCGACGGTTATGTCTGCCATTTGTGACATAGAGGTTCTTATATGAGTACCTGTGCAAGATCGTCCATTCTTGATGAGCTTTCAAATTGATAATTCTTCTTTATCGAGTCGCAGATGAGATAAAGAAACATTATTAAAGCGAGTCAAGAATGGACGATATTGCACAGGTACGAGTACAAGAAAGTTTTTCTCATATGACTCTAAATTATGCCATATTTTCACCGTTTTATGATAAAAAATTAGTGAAAATAGCTTCAAATTAATGGAACTTCATCTTTCAATTGTTATGATGTCACAACAATGTTGTAGAAAACACATGGTTACGCGTGGCAACAAAGTCCGATTGTTATGACGTCACAACTTATTTTGTAGAATGAGCATGGATACTCATATTAACAATGTATCCGTTGTCATGCTGATGATGTTTTTAAACCTGTGATGTCATAAGTGTTTCAATATTGTTCGTTGTCGACTGGTAATTGATACATAACGCTATAGTTAGTAAGTTTAATAGAGTAAACTTTATTCAAGCATCTTAAGAAGATGGACTTAAGAGCAACCAGAACAACGGCAACGCCAAAGCGTAGCGAATCCCATCGAACAGCCATGGATGGCGTTTTTACAAACAAAGTATAAAGCAAAAATGGCAGGCATTTTTCAAAATGGCCACCTTCTACCAAAAGTGTCATTAGACCATTTGGCATACTTATAGTATTCACATACCAAATATGAACAAAATCGCTCCACTACTTTTCGAGTTATTGTAAAATATGTTAAAATGGCAGCCATTTTGAAAAATGGCCGCCTTCTACCAAAAGAGTCATTAGACAGTGTGCCATGCTTACAGTATTCACATACCAAATATGAACAAAATCGCTTCACTACTTTTCGAATTATTATAAAATACATTAAAATGGCGGCCATTTTTCAAAATTTTTTTCAAAATGGCCACCTTCTACTAAAAGTGTCATAGGATAGTGTGTCATGCTTTTAGTATTCACATACCAAATATGAACAAAATCGCTCCACTACTTTTCGAGTTATAGTAAAATACGTTAAAATGGCGGCCATTTTGAAAAATGGCCGCCTTCTACCAAAAGTGTCATTAGACACTGTGCCAAAATCGCTTCACTACTTTTCGAATTATTATAAAATACATAAAAATGGCGGCCATTTTTCAAAATTTTTTTCAAAATGGCCGCCTTCTTCCAAAAGTGTCATAAGACAGTGTGCCATCCTTATAGTATTCACATACCAAATATGAACAAAATCGCTTCACTACTTTTTGAGTTATAGTAAAATAGGTTAAAATGGCGGCCATTTTTCAAAATGGCGGCCATTTTTTAAAATGGCCATTTTCTACCAAAAGTGTCTTTAGACAGTGTGCAATGTTTATAGTATTCACATACCAAATATGAACAAAATCGCTCCACTACTTTTCGAGTTACAGCAAAAATCGTAAAATAACAAGTAAAGACCGCCATTTTTCAAGATGGCTGCCATGTGCTTCTTAAATATCTACATTTCTAGCTTTATTAATGTCCTGTATAATTTTTTACATCTAAAACATATTGCTATAACAGTTTTACATATTGCACCTAAATTACTGCAAATTCGGCACTCAAATGGCCGCCATTTTGAAATGAGCGGCCATTTTGAAAATCGGCTTTCGAGCAGAACTTCTACCCCCATAGGGTATATGTGTACAAAATATGAACAAAATCGGGCCAACGCTATTTGAGTTATTGCCCGGACGGACGGACAGACGGATGGACGGACGTACGGACGGACGGACGTACGTACGGACGGACGGACGGACGGACGGACGGAGGCGTTCCCTATATCCCTCGGAACTTCGTTCGATGGGATAATAAGAAGTAAGTCATAAGTGATTCAAACAGGTAAAGATACATATCATATAGTACATTGGATTAGTTCAATATATAAAGTAGGGGTGTTAGCATATATTGAAACATCCTTTCCTTTCCGAAGTTTTTGAATCAAGATGTTCAGAAGATAAGCTTAAGTACATGTATTACAAATAATGTAATGTGATTCATGACATCAATATGTATGATTGCATGGGAAATAAAAGATTAGATCTGTTTGTTTTCCTAGTGAGTGAGCAGAACATTTAAATTGTACTTAAAATAATCCTAATCTGATAACTATTTTCCTTAAGGCTAAGCTGTTTTTAACTTTTGATTACAAAAACTATAACTTATGTAATAGCTCATCACAGTATCATGCAATGTTTTTGTTAAAAGTTATCTTTAGTTGTCACATATGACATGTGTTTAATACCTCACATTTTCAGATAATTACAATTTAACACACCTGAGTTATTTGAATTTGAATCATTTCATTTTGATTGCAAAAGTTCATGTTAAGATAAACATTATTTAGTAACATAGTCCTTTAAATATGCAGGTGCATTCCTAGTACGCTGTGGTCTAGGTTGAATAACTGGTTTGACTATATTTCCAGTAGGAACACTTTGTATGTCCAGATTAACTTCAGGCACTTGAGACTGAGAATTGGGAGTAGGGAGGGGTTTTGAAGGAGTTAAAGGTTGAGGTTGATTAAGTGGAATGTCAGGTTGTTTTCGTAAATGTTGTCTATTACGTCTATAAACAGTACCGTCACATTCTACATCATATGAACGTTCATCAAGTCGTTTTTGAACAGTTGCTTTTTTCCAAGAACGTTCACCCAATTTGAATGGTTGCATTCTTACAGAATCACCTTCATCAAGTGGATTCAAGTTTTTTGCATTTTTATTGTAGTAGCCTTCTTGATCTACTCTTTTCAACATGATTTTCTTTCTTTGTTCTTTCATGCTTTGAGTTGTCAACAATGCATTTGAAGTTTTGATTTTTTGCATTTTCTTAGCAGTTGTTTAGCAATTTTCACTGCTGATTCAGATTTACCATTTGCTTTTGAATTATAGGGGCTAGATGTAGTATGGTCAAAATCCCATTCTTTAGCAAATTTTCTGAATTGTTCAGAGTCATATGGTCCACCATTGTCTGAAGTAAGCTTGTCAGGGCATCCATATCTACTGAAATGAGTTTTCAGCTTTCTAACTACAGTTGTAGCTTTCATGTCAGGTAGTCTATCAATTTCAAAGAAATCACTAAAGTAATCAACTGTCACAAGGTAATCAGTCGAGTCAAATGTGAAAATGTCAGATGCAACATTTTGCCAGGGTCTAGTAGGAATTTCATGGCTCATTAATTTTTCTTTGGGTTGTGCAACATCATATTCCCGACATACATCGCATTGCTGAATGAATTGTTTCACGTCAGCGTTCATGTTAGGGTAGTAGATGAGTTCTCTAGCACGTCTAAGAGTTCCTTCAACACCAAGGTGTGAATTGTGTAGTTTTTCTTTTATGATCTGTCTTTGAGTCAAAGGTATAACAACTCGGTTTCCCCTAAAAATCAGACCATCTTGGACTACAAGTTCGTCCCTAAAGTTGAAATAAGGGTGAATTTGAGAATTCAGGTCCTTTTTAAATTCTGGCCACCCATCAAGTATAGTAGCTTTAAGAATTTGCAAAGTTTCGTCTTTGTCAGTATGAGTTTTGATTTCATTGAGTCGACGATCAGTGATTGCAAGGTAAGATACCATATTCACTGGATACTGATCTTTAGTGTCATCATTTTCAGTGTCAGTTAAGTATGCTCTAGAGAGAGTGTCAGCTAAATACTGCAGCTTGCCAGGCTGGTAGATTATTTCGACATCATACTTAGAGAGACGTATCATCATGTTCTGTAGTCGTTTAGGAACACGATCTAGAGGTTTTTTCATGAGAATTTCAAGAGGTTTGTGGTCAGAGTACACAATAACCTTTCGTCCAAATGTCATGTGATGGTATTTCTCAACAGACCAGCACACAGCTAATAGTTCCTTTTCAATCATAGCATAACGTTGCTCAGTAGGTGTCATAGCTCGACTAGCATATGCAATTGGTTGAGATTCTTGCATTGGCACTGCGCCTAATCCAGTAGAACTAGCATCACATTTTTTTTTTTTTTTTTTATTAATCATCTTTATTATATTCCATAAAATACAGCTGTACAAACTTAAACAATTGCCAAAGTCTAGTGACATTGTCGGCAATTTTGAGTGAAATCCAAAGGAATGTTATTAAATTTTTACATAATAAGTTATTTTTATGTCATGTTATTGTTAAAATAGATGAAAGAAAAAGTCAATAAAATATCATCACACTACACTCGTATATCACAAAGATGTGTAAGGTTTTTTCCCTTGGCCAGAGGGATTTCAGTTGTAACATGTTGTAATCGATTACATGTCCAAAAGATCTAGACCCTGGTGGATATAATATGCTACTATGTTCATTAGTTTCTCATTGACATCTACTGGAAATTTATTATCTCCAAAAAGTAAGAACTGGGATTGATCATGCATATTAAGTCCATCATAGTGGGTACGGATCCCTATCGTCTCCAGTCCTGCAAGTAGTGTTGTTCTCTGTTCTGTCAGCAGAGGGCATTTCAACAGGAAATGTAAAGTTGTCTGGTTTATATTGTCACATAAACATTTAGGATTAGCAACCCGTTCAAAGTTGTGTGCATGGAGGTGAGCTTGCAAGAGAAGTCCGGACCTGAGTCGGTTTAATGGAATTTCTAGGTAGCGAGGCATGGCATTTTTTAGTTTTGACGTTGATAGGGTAGAAGCATGGCTTCCATCGCCTCTTACTATTCTTTTAAATCTTGAAATTGGCTGACCAGTTCTAAAATCTGGTGGAAGGTTATTCCAAAGCATCACATTGAATGACTAATTCTTTAGACGGATCATAATACCTAAGAATAGGAGTTTTAGTTGCAAGATCTTTCATCTTTTGAAAAGCTTCTTCTTGAGAAGGTCCCCAATAGAAGTTTACGTCCTTTTTCATAAGTTGACGTATTGGGTCAAGAATGTCACTCAAGAAATCCCACCGCTGCCACCATGTTTCAATATTGTTCGTTGTAGGGGTGTTAGCATATATTGAAACAATAAGTAAATCTCATCTTGCACGTGTTACTTTTTAGGATGAAAGATGGCAATATCTTGCATGGGATAAAGATGGCTGTATCTTTGCTAGTCATATGAGAAAACGGCATCTAACTTTACCGTTATCGGGCTATTCCGGTGTGATATTAGTCTTTCGACCAATAACGAGTGTTAACACCTGCAATGGGAAGAGTAAATTGAACAATATCGTCTCAATATACAATTCATAACTCACAATGTTTTCAATGCCATCTTTCATGCCAGTTGTTTTTTGTTGCAGGAGGGCAGCTATTTCATCCTCTTCTGCTTGCCAGTCTCTCTCAGCCACACACTCGGCTGTAACAGGACAATAAATGGGAGAGTTTATATCATAATATTTTGTGTGTTTTCATACCAAAACTTGTAGAAAATGTACATATCTTTCAGCATTTTAAGTCACCCATTTTTGTTTATTTATGAAATACATTGTATTGTGTGTGTTAGTATATTGTTTACACTTTTGCTTGCATTTTGGTACATGTATACACTAGTATATATTCAGTAATGGCGACGGGTCAGAATTGACATCATATACACAATTTTTTCATGCAGAAAACTAGTATGTCATATGCATCAAAGTGAAGTAAGTGTTATTTACCAAAATATTCATTGTTGAATGAAGGAGGCCTCAACTCGAATGGTTTCTCACAAAGTGGGGAAGGCAAGTCAGTGTCATCTACCATTATCTGCAATGAAATTCATAATCATAATATCATTAATACATGATACATACTCAAAAACATGAAAAATATACATAATTTTATTAATACTAAAAAGCCAATCTTCATTGAAAAACTAAATGTGACAAGACTGGGATAAATAGGATATCCTATGATTTTCTTTGGCTATCAACTTCTTTCACTCATGAATATTACCCATCTCCAAAATGAGCGTAGCATGAGTGAATGAGATATCCACTCATGGATAAAAAATGATATCCCTCAAAAATCAAAGGACATCCTCTATAATATTTCATATATACAGAGGATACATTTGAACAGAATTAGAGTTGATCGCATATTCAATCCCCCCTGGCTACGGGCCTGGTCATATACAATTTCACTGACCTGGTCTCTCAACTCAGAACCTAATGAGGCAGGCTGCCTAAAGGGGGTGCTGCTGGCAGTTGGGGCAAGCTTAATAGGCATGATGTCATCATCAGTGGAGTCTAGAAGTGGTGTGGCACATCTTTGTCTTTCTTCAAGACTGAAACATTAGATTAATGGAAATTAAAATCATATTTTGTACATTACATGGCAGGGTAATGAGATGATAGGATATCAGATGGCGTGACAGAGGGGATCAAGGGTTGCGATCAAATAATTTTCCCAATTCACTGAAGCATGACAATTTACAAAGAAATAGCAATTATTTAGAACTTAATATTAATATTTATATTAATATTTTTGACCTTAAAACCTGTTTCATTTTTGACAAAATAGAGCACTCCATGCAATGGCTATTTCATTTGTAACTTTGCAGGCATTCTGTTGGAACCCAGTTCTGATCAAAAACAAAGGTATTGAAAATGGCGCAGGCATCCTTTACTCCGAAAGATTGTTTTTCTATTATAAGTTTTTACTTAGGTAATTTATTTAGGTAATGGCTTTGGCTTCTAAAAAATCCGGCATAGTCTAAACTTCTGTCATTTCCAATTCACATGCCTCTGTTTTGTGAGCTCCTATTTGCATGTACATATACTTCTCAGACACCAACTGTTTAAATCCGTGAATCATGCATGTCATTCCAATTCACATGCCTCTATTTTGTGAGCTCCTATTTGCATGTACATGTACTTCTTAGATACCAACTGTTAAAAACCAGTGAATCATGCAATTACAAAATTTCTCATGACAGACAAGAAATGATAAGAACTTTATGACATATACCTTGCTACAGTTCTCCTGACTTCCACTAGTTCATTATGTAGTTCTGTTTTCTCTGTCTTAAGAACCTTTAAATTAAAAGAAAAGTTGAGCTCTACAGTCCAGAGAATATGTTTTACAATAAGTTAACATATTTTAAGATTTAACTACTATATCACTGAAATCAATCTTATACTTATAAATATACGGAACACTTAACTTAACAATACACACACAATAGGGAGAAGGGAGAATTTCAGAGTTCACAATCAATAGACTAGATGCGAGTAGAAAAAATCTTGATTTACGCCATTAAATATTCAAAATTCAGTCAAAGCGATGTTATATTTGAAATCTACATGTAAAAGTACATCTAGAAATATGGTTTCGAAAATTGTTTATCAAGTTTGAAAATTTAATTATTTTTGAAAGTGTGACTTCTAGTTCGGGTTGATTCTCCATAGAGCCCATGTTACGAAATCACAAAAAGTCGAATATCTTTTCTTGTATTGGTCAGATAACATTTTCATTTACTGGACATATTTTGATTTGCATAACTATTAGATACATAAGGGTTATATGAAAATTGAACCACTAAAACAGATGTAATTTAAGTTAAAGGGAACTTTCTACTATACCCGCCATGCTATCTGACCCGAACGAGCCACCTGGTGGTGAAACTGGTAACTACCTACTCGCATCTGCGTTATTAGTCACTAATAAAGCAATTATAAAATTCTGATAAAAGACATTACACATGAATAAGGCAAAATAGAATGATGAATGAATGCATGAATACTATTTCTAAAGATTCAGAAAATGCAGGGATATCCCCAGGTGGAAAAAGATCTTTATACTCAGGCCCGTCAGATGGGGGGGTGCGATGGGTGCGACCGCACCCCCCTTTGACACCCCCAAAAAAATTTAAAAATTAAAAAAAGAATTTTGAAAATTTTTAATTTTTTTTCATCATCTCATACACTTTTAAAGTGCCCAGAAAGCATCAAATAACATCTTAGAATTGTAAAATTTTCCAGAGGGAGTGGGCCACCCCTCACACCCCCTCAATACAATGGAAAAGTTCTGAATTAATTTTATGTATTGTCTCAGACAATTTTAAAGTGCCCAAGTGCCCACACATCATCACATAGCTCCTTGATATAGTCAATGTTTCTGGGGGACTAACACTTGCTCCCCTTCGGGATCCCCATCCCACCTCCCCCTCTGGCACCCTCGCCCCCCTTGACACCCCTCCAAAAAATTGAAAAAATTGTGATTTTCTCAATTTTTAAATTAACTCATACACTTTGAAAGTGCCCAGAGAGCACTAAATAGCGTTTTAAAATTGTAAAATTTTGTAGGGGGAGTGGACCACCCCTCACACCCCAAAAAACAATTGAAAAGTTCTGAATTTATTTTATGTATCATCTCAGACACATGTTAAGTGCCCAGACATCATCAAATAGCTCCTTGATATAGTCAATGATTCTGGGAGACTAACACTTACTCGCCCTCTTGCATCCCCACCCCCCCCCCTCTGGTACCCCTCCCCCTTTGACATCCCCCAAAATATTGTGATTTTTTCAAATTTTTTTATCGTGTCATACACTTCAAAAGTGCCCAGGAAGCACCAAATAGCATCTTAAAATTGTAAAATTTTCCAGGGAAGTAGGCCACCCCTCACATCCCCCACAAAACAATTGACAAAAATTCTGAATTTATTTCATGCATTGTCTCAGACACTTTTAAAGTGCCAAGACTTCATCAAATAGCACCTTGATATGGTCAATGTTTCTGGGGGCAGATATGGGGGACAAACACTTGCTCCCCCTCTGGCACCCTAATCCCACCTCCCCCTCTGGTATCCCCTTTGACACCCCCAACAATTTAAAAAAATGTAATCATACACTTTAAAAGTGCCCAGAAGCACCAAATATCATCTTAAAATTGTAAAATTTTCTGGAAGAGTTGGCCACCCCTCACACCCCCACAAAACAATTGAGGAAATTCTGAATTTCATGTATTGTCTCAGACATTTTTAAAGTGCCCAGACATCATCAAATGGCACCTTGATATGGTCATTGTTTCTTGGGGCAACCCCTCGCCCCCCCCCCCCTCTGGCACTCCACCCCACTTCACCCTCTCATTCTCTTTGACATCCCCAAAAAGAATTTGAAAAAAAATTCACTTTTTATTGACTCATTCACTTTAAAAGTGCCCAGAAAGCACCAAATGGCATCTCAAAAGTGTAAAATTTTCTAAGGGGAGTGGGTCACTCCTCACAAGTTTGGAAGTTGCATTTGTTATTTTAAACACTTTAAAAGTGCCTAGAAGTCACCAAGTGACATAATGAAATCATAAAAACATAAAAATTTAAATTTCTGGCAACCCACTCCAAAAACTAAAGCATTCATTTACTCAAACACATTAAAAGTGCTCAGAAATAACCAGACAGCAACTTGAATTAGTAAAATTTTCCTTGCTGCCCCCCTAAGAAGAAAATGATTGAAAAAATCTGAATTTCTTATCAATAGATTCTATTTCAATTAAAACACCTTGAAAGGGTCCAGAAATCACTAAATGTGATCTTGAACTGGTAAAAGTTCTCGGGCATTTAAATTTCTCATACAATATTTAGTCTAAAAACAATACGAAAACAATAAAATACTACAAAATATAGGGAGTAACCGACCCCCCCCCCTTGACTTACGCAATTTGATTTACACGGCAAAAAATTGACAATTTTATTTTCTCTTTAGTTAAAACCGCACCCCCCTTGGAGAAAAGTGTCTTACGGGCCTGATACTGTACATCATTTGGGAAAGTGATGTAAAGACATGCTAGAAATATCAGTACACAATTCTACACACTACATAAATCAGGGTTGGGTTTAAGTTTCAGGTAAAACACAGCAAGCTAGCTGTAGACACACACATGCTGGCTCCCACACCAAGCGCAAGATGACTATGTAACAATATTTATCATAGAAGTGGATGTTTATAGGATATTCTATGATTTTGAGGAATATCATTTTCATCTACGAGGTGATATTGATATCTGCGCGCAATATCACTGAGTAGATTAAAATGATATTCTAAAAAATCATAGGATGTTCTTTTTATCCTACACTTGCTAGTAGTGTACTAAAATAGCAATATGGGGTTTTCTGGGGTATTCATCAAAATATCCTCTGCATATTGGTGCTCCGGAGTATATTGTGGTGATATCAACCAGTTATTCATTTTGCTAATAGACTGATAGATATCAAATTCATTTTTTTGTTCTTATATACATTTAGTACACTAGGTGTAGGATAATAAAGACTACACAAGTATTAGTAGGAGCTATTATAAAAAGCTATTCACACCCTGGAATTTGAATATGTATAATCATACAACTACAGCATATGAAGAGCCACCACCAAAAAAGCATCTACTACATGCGCAATGAAAACTCAGACACTCTACCTATACTCTTGTGAATATATTTCCTCCCAATTTTTAGTGACATGGTAGCCTATAATTAACAATGAAATACTATTCATTCGATTTATGAGATTTCAAAATTAAAAAATTGACCTATTTTCCTACTCTCACTTTTGGATTGGTGTATAGGACTTTGCTATTTCTATTGAGTTTTATCTTACTTTTCACAAATTAAACAGTACTATCATGTAATTATTTAACTCTTTGTTATGAAAGACAGAGATACATTAGTCAACAATATCAACCTGAGTTTGAAAATGAAACTCACCTCATTGGCTCTTGTCAATTCATTCAACAGGCTAAGTAATTCATCAAGCTTTGTGGACTTCTGAAATTTATAAAATGGTGTGAATATTTTATGCATGCATCACTTTACTATGTTCTCAAAACATAAATTAATTCTGAGAATTGTACAGGGTATCAAATAAATATGTTCTCCCCCCTTAATTTCAAAAATATGAACTTTTATGCATAAAAGTGCATCTGGTTGAGCCATCTGAACTTCTTGTGGAGTTGCTCCATCAAGCCTAGTTTTAATGTGCTTAAGAATGATTTATGATATCATACAGCCCCATAGCCAGTTATTGCAAGAGGGGTTTACTTTTCAAAAAACTCCTTTGGGTTCTCATTTGACAATTTTGACCAAAAACTACTTGAAAAGTGCTCTGAATGGTAAAAAACGCATGATTTTGAAAAAAATGGCCAAGGGTGAACCCCCTACTAACACAACGGGAAACACTATTTTGTAAGCACTACTAAGAAAGAATACGTTATGTGTTATCCATAAGTAATAATCAAGACTAACCACTAATTCTCAGGAATAAAAAGTTCACACTATTTAGATAGATAGAGCTTATCCCCGGACCAGTTACGTCTTATCCGTGTGTCATATGACTACTGTGTTAATTAACTAAGTAAAGTATTCCAATTAAAAAGTGTTGTATGTTTGCATGCAGCAAGCGTTTAATAATTCTTCGCACATATAAAATTGTCCATAAAAGAGTCTGATATATAATATTGTCCATAAAAGATCGGTCTGATAATTACAAGTAACTCATGTTTATTTTAAAACTATTCTTTACGAATTTATGATAAGTGTATAATGTTCAATCATACAAATGCGCAGTCAGTGATTGTTCTCCACACTCACCCCTCCCCCTTCCTGAAATGAACTGTTTTGTAAAACCATTGACAGTGTGGAAAGGATTCTTACACTTGAGTGTCAAGGGGGGGGGGCAGTTATAAAAATATACAAGGCGATGGTTCAAATTGGACAATTTTCAAAACTGCTCAACATGGTGAAAACTTCACGTTTTTAAAGAATACTTGCCCGGCGAGTGGTTTGCTCTGGATTGCGAGAGAACAAAAACTTTGAATTAGGATTTTCCTAATACTATCATTAATCTAAACAACTTTTTAAACCTGATTACTCATCATGCCAATTAATACCATGATTGTGTTGACAGGATTAAATACGATATCTATGGAATTATAATTTAATGAACTCAATAGTCTAAATAATAACTAGAAGATTGCAAGCAATCTTACGGAGGCCCTGTAGGCTTTTTTGAACATTTAAAGGTCAGCCAAAGGTCAAATTTTAAATACAAGGACATATATGAACTCCAGGCATCTTGTAGATGATTTTTAAAAAAAAGTTTGGTCAATTTGAAGCAATGTGAAATTTGACCTTGAAAATTTCAACATTAGACCTTTTTCAGTTTTTGAGGTCCAATATCTCAAAACTGGTGCAGAATTTTAATAGATAATCAATTGTTATTATGTGTAAAACCTTTAGAGGAATGTATATCCTGACTTTAATTCAAAAATATTGATTTGTAGTCACAAACTTTGAGAAACTTAGAAAACACAGTTTGTGATCTTGTTTGATGACCTTGACCTTTGACCTTACAGGTTTTACTTTTTTAGACCTCAGTATATCTTTTCTGATTGAAGAAACCTAAATTTAAATCCAGAAAATCAATTTGAAAAATTAACTTTTTTGACCTTTCGAAGGTCACTGAAGGTCAACTAAAGGTCATAGTTCAAAACTAAGGTCAGATTTGAGTTCCTGAGATCTTGTAGATGCTTTTTAAAAAAAAGTTAGGTCAATTTAGAGCAAGTTGAAATTTGAGCTTGAAAAATTTTGAAATTTGACCTTTTTTCAGTTTTTGAGTTCTAATATCTCAAAACTGGAGCAAAATTTTAATAAATAGTCAATTGCTAATATGTGTAGAACCTTTAGAGGAATATATATTCTGACTTTCAGTAAAAAAAATTGATTTGTAGTCTCCAATTTTGAGAAACTTAGAAAACACAGTTTGTGATTTCCTTTGATGACCTTGACCTTTGACCTTGCAAATTTTACTTTTTTAGACCTCAGAAGATATTTTGTGAATAAATATACCTAAATTTGAATCCAGAAAGTCGATTTGAAAAATCAACTTTTTTGACCTTTCGGAGGTCATTGAAGGTCAACCAAAGGTCAAAGGTCAAAAGTAAGGTCAGATTTGGAATCCTGAGAACTTGTAGATGAGTTTTAAAAAAAAAATTGGTCAATTTGAAGCAAGTTGAAAAAATACCTTTTTTGACCTTTTTTTGACCTTCAATATCTCAAAATCTAGGCAAAATTTCTCTAGACGGCAAAAGGCTAAGACTAATAGAATACTAATATCTATCTGTATGCAAAAATTCAGCCAAAAATATTGATGTGTAGTGTCAGGATTTGAGAAACTTTAAAAAAACTTAGAGTTGACCTAGATTTTGACCTTTGACCTTGACCTAGATAAAAATTCCTTTCCCGCCAAGGTTCCTAGTAGGAGCATATAAGAGTTAACTCAGACCTAGCTAGAAGTAGGAGAAAAAGAGGGAGGAAGAATAAATAATAATAAAGAATAAAGAATAAAGAATAAAGAATAAAGAATAATATCTACAAAATTGATAGGAGGCCCCCCGATGGGGCCTCCTAATAAGTCCATAATTTAGTCTTGGCTGACTAGTCTTGCATCATCAGAGTTGGATTGCAAATACCTCCCTAAATCAAATATTTAAAATTAACAAATTTACTAGTGTACGGGTCAGGGACACAAGTCTCCACCCAACCACTAAAGTTTAAAAGGAAGACTATAGTGTCCCGTGAATGCATTATGATTATCTTAGACAATAGTGAAGCGGTACAATCATGGGAGTGTTAATTAATCGGAATGCAAGTTTGATTTGAAATAACTCCTTTGGATCAAATATTTAAATTCAACTAGAATGTGGGGAGTGGAAACAAGTCTCTATCCAAGCACTAAATATCAAAAGAAAGATTTCAGTACCCCTTAATTTCACTCCCGGACTTCACTATTCACCACCACCCCTCCCCTTCCCCAATTATCCCTTATGACCCCAGAATGTTCGTTTCTGTGCCCCCCATCCATGGCCAGTAAGTAATCTATGTGTATACTAGCTCCCTCCCGAAGGTGGGAAAAACCAGATGCAGGCATAGACATTGACAGGGTGAGGGGATTTAAATATAAAAAATAGTCTTGTTTTTGGCTCCGACTTAAATATTTTGGCACTGTTTAACGAAGCCAGTTTAAGAAATGAGAGGCAAAACTAATTCCTAGATGGCCTGTCTTTACTGTAATCAAGATGCTACCTAACCGCAGTTTTAAAAGGTATAAGTAATTTATCTTTTGTGACAATATAATACTACTTGTTGATTGGTTTGCCAAATATAAGACCCCGTCATAAGACCCTTGTCTCTGATTTTGAAACATGTGTATGCATCCCCGGGTATGCATCAAATCCGAGGAATATTACATTTTATTATATACCCAATATGTAACACTAATCCTGATTGGTCAATACCTAGTCACGTGTTCCGGATTAGATTTACTATTTCCCTCGGAAAGTTATATTCCCTCAAATGTGACGTCAGCGGGAATATACATTTGAACTATTGCCTGCTGACGTCACAATTGCAAGTTCTATTACCCTTGGAAACGTCTGCGCATCATCACTGCACAGACGAAAAACAGAAAAATGGAGGATGAGCACAAACACAAATCAACTCCGTTCACCATGACAGACATGCGTGAACGATACAATATAAGCAACGTGTATAAAGTTCCCTAAGCTCAATACGTCTGTGTAATTTCAAGTGTTATGATAATCTATTCCGCGTGTTAAACGCGATTGAATTTGTCAAGTGAGAGTCTCAGAGGCAAAAATTTCTGTTGAGCATCTGATGACGTCACAGCTTATAATGCTAACAATGGACCCGGGGAGGGGGCTTTCTAAGCCTTTTTGGCCTTCGCAGAGGAAACGGGACAAGAGTCAGTATAGGGTATATAATAAAACAAATAGTGACTGCCTAATTTCGAGCAATAGTGTAAATGATTTCCCCTTGGGAATATCCTCTACAATGTACTATTCCCGAAGCCGCAGGCTTCGGGAATAGTACATTGTAGAGGATATTCCCTCGGGGAAATAATTTACACTATTGCCCTCAATGGCAGTCACTATTTGTATAATGTAAAACAATTCCAAAATGTTTTGTCTTGAACTCAATCAAATAGCAATATATTTCAACATGTGGAAATTATTCATTAACATAATGTCAGGCACTATAGGTTAACAGGTTAACAGGTTTTTAGTTTTGCTCTTTTTTGTCACGCTTAAATTGTGTGCTTTATTTTTTGGGGATTTGAATTTGAAAAGGTGAATTCACCATCCAATAAAGCTTATAGTATCATTTATTAACAGATGCATCGAGATAGAGCCACCGTTCAAAAGACATAAACATAACTCTGTCGAGTGCAAACCAGTTTTAAATGTCTCTGTTTAAACCTACATGTAGTAAAGTTTACAACATCAATGGATATAATTACAGTCACATGCACTTTGTTATTAAATTCAGAAACTTTAACGGCCGGCGCGTAAGCAGCTTATTGTCGGATTTTAAACTTGATATTGTTTATTGGATTGTTATCAAGATTCTTCTTCAATTTTTTTTATTTGGGAACGTATATTTTTTATTATTAGAAAACCCTGGAAAACAATACATGTACAACAATTACTATTACTAATTAAGCTAATGGTCTCATTTATAAAGTTCAAAAGACGAGCGCGTTCTTATAAATAAATAAATGAATAACGCAAACCACGTTCTTAATGTTTTTATTCAGAATCGTATTTTATATTCAGTACTTTTTTTATATATTAAGTTACAGACACAAGCGGCACATATAGGTTTGTTGTAAGACCATTTCTGCGATGACCAAGGTGCGTATTTTGGTTTTATAACGGGGATATTGCTCGAGCTTGAATAACAAATAAAAGGCATGTTCTTATTTCTGTATTCTGTCCTTTGATTGTGTATTAAGTTGAGCTGCACGCCAAACGTAAAAGATAGTTAAAACGCTTAAAATAAAACCTTATTCCTTTCAATTTACATAAAAATGAAACAGATTAGATTCGAATCTCAGTCACACCAGCCACTGGTCAAAGGAAGTACAAATATCTATATTAATCAAATGTCTGAGAATTTGATAACTGTCTGGAATCCAATGTTAATTTTATTGAATCAAACTAAGAAAAGTATAAAGAATAGATGAATTTTAAACTTTTAGAGGGAAAAGTCAAATATGCATTGTAACCCCAAAAATAATTCATTAAAGTGTCGTACACATTTCATAACATTTATATAAATAAAACAAATAAAGCACAACTCTAATGCCCTAATGAATTCATATCGGCGCAAATGGCCCTTGCAATAAAAACGCATCGAAGCAGGGAATGCTTGGTAAATTCTTCCGAGACTGACTTTTGTTATTTCAAAATTGAAATATGCCAAATTCATTTGAAATAATCAAATAACCACACAATCTTTTTCCCTGGATTTTACTCTATTTTAGATTTACCAGAAAAATGTTTATATGATGTTGTGATGATTGCGTTTGCTTCTCACGAGTTCATTGAAAAGTTCAGTCGTAAAACTTCAGAGATCAAAAGACTAATTAGGCACCTGATTGCGAAAGTTTGATTGCATCTGGATCGCCGGGATATTACAAACGTATTGTTTATGTAGCGATCGTGTTCTTGGGATCTTGATAACTTCCTATTTTAAGTTTTGGGTTGGAAGCAATGAGTATGTCGGACTTTCTCAAGTCCACATAATTCTGTTTTCAAATAAAATTATTTCATCCTTGCCCGACTGACTTGTAGATAATGCACGAATCAAATCGCATGGAGATCAGATAATCAGGTTGATTCGTATTTTCGCAATCAGATGAATTAACTTATTGTTTTCTCTGATTAAAAGGCGGTTTGAAGCTACTTTTAACTGTTTACAGGATTTGTAAATTCGCAGTCAGACTGGCTTATTTTGATATTTAGTCAGTGCAAGAGGAGGGGGCTATAATGTAGAACAATAACTGAATAATTTATCACAATTGTTAAATACGCAAACAGAGACAGGTTTAAAAATGAGAATAGAGGCAAAAAACTCATGAAATGTAATTAAAACCCGGAAAATTAAAAGCATTTTAAGACTGTTAGATGATCTCTTCTGTAATCAAGGTGATGTTGGTACACTTCCGCCGTTAGAAAAACAAAGACTAAGACAAAGACTATATAGCAATTAATCCTTTTGTAATCATTAAATGTTAGATTCTTATTATTTTGTTGGACAATGTTCAGACTTCTGACCAAGATTAATTCATTTATGTTTGTATTTAAAAAATAGTATTTCAATCAGACAGACGTTCTAATGAGTTAGAAAAATACATTTGTCCATTTCCTCTCAAGAAGTTTTCAAAGGTAATCAAGTCGATTTGTTTGAAAGTTTAGCATTGTTTTTCATAACTTGACGCTTCCATGAACAGAATGACTTTGAAATGAGTTTTTATAATTTTAGCTTTTATACGGACATGCTTATTGTATATTTCTATATGAACGTTGTAATTACAGGTATACAAATTTTGGTCGGAATGCTTTAACTTGCAATTAAAAGCAATTTTAGACTGTTAGATGATCTCTTATGCAATCTAGGTGATGTTGGTACACTTCCGCATTTAAGAAAACAAAGACTAAGACAAAGAGAACTAAGCAATTAATCCTTTTGTTATCATTAAATGTCAGATTCTTATTTTTTTATTGGACACTATTAAGACTTCTGTCTCCGATTGTTATGCAGGTATGTGTATAAAATCATGTGAACAACATTATCGTGGAAACTCCCATATTCATTCTCATAATGTCTTACAGCTATTTCGCAAATGACATAATCCTAAACAACATGTGGACATAATATTACAGAACTGAGCGAAAAGAAAGGTGGAACAAATCAGATTAAGATATTTTATTTCTTAAATGCACAAAGGGCAACAGTTGAAGAACAAAAGTTAAAGGCGTTGTGAAATAGATCGTGCTTTTATATGATCCCCTTCTGTAGTACCCTACCCTTTGCATTTGTTCGACTTAACTTTTTAAAGTCTTCTCGTCTTCTCGTAGTTTATAATTAGACTCTGCACGCAGCGTAATAGTGCCCCTATTATCCATGACCAGGGGCATAGCCAACTTTCAGTCGGGGGGGAGGGGTGCAATCGCCAGAAAACAATAACGGTTTTCAGTCGGGGGGAGGGGGTTGCGATTGTGGCAAAAGCAAGCCAAAAGATGCAACTTCCTTCAAAATAGCATCTACTATAATATTTATTTTTCTATCCGATATACAACTGATATTGATATCTTTCCCCGGACAATGTGTTATCTCATGGTCCGTTGAAATCATCAACAATGTGATTTACCACAAGAGATTAACCAACATTCCTTAATTAAAAAGTTGACATTTCTTAAATTTTTAAAGCAAAAACACTATGACACAATAACATCGAGGCAAAATCAAAACATGGTGTGGAAATAAAAGGCATACAAAATGGCCATTAAAAAGACATTCTTGTTCATAAAAGTATCAACTTTACTACATTGGACGCAAATACAAAGTATAGAATAAATAAAAATAACGTCTTCCCAGAGATTACAATACGGATCAGTAAGTCAACAAATCTAACCGTTAAATAAACAAACTTAGCCCACGTCTGAAATTGTTCGTCTGCTGGTCAGAACTTGGTATTCGCTTCGGATAATCAATTTCTGAGAATACTGATGTCTTAAATAATTCATAAAGACGACGTTGTCTTTAAATAAGGATCTTTAATCTACAAACTGTTATTAACTAGAAAAACAGCAACTCCACGGAGTAGCAAATCCCACCGAACAAAACATATTATGCTTATTATAGCTAGTGTAAATTTTGAAATGTTTGTGCACTTTGAGAGAGAAGCATGAAATTTGGCACAAAGTTAGTTTATACCATTGTGAACTAGGCATCATCATATAAAATTTGAACCAAATCTGTTCACTGGTATATGAGTTATCAAAGATTACGTTTTTTATGAATATGGGCCGCCATCTTGAAATTCAGCCGCCATCTTGAAAATTATTTCTTGAACAGAGCTACTGTGTCCCTAGGCATAATCATATAAAGTTTCAATCAAATCTGTTCACTGGTATTTGAGTTATCAAAGATTACGTTTTTTACGAAAAATTGCTGCCATTTTAAAATTAAACGGCCATCTTGAAAATGTTTTGTCGAACATAGCTACTGTGTCCCTAATAATCATCATATAAAATTTGAACCAAATCCGTTCACTGGTATTTGAGTTATCAAAGATTACATAATTTTATGAAAAATGGCCGCCACTTTGAAATTAAGCGGCCATCTTGAAAATCTCTTTTTGTGCGAAACTCCTTTGTCCCTAGGCATCAGCATATAAAATTTGAACCAAATCCGTTCACTGGTATATGAGTTATCAAAGATTACGTTTTTTAAGGAATTTGGGCCGCCATCTTGAAATTCAGCCACCATCTTGAAAATCATTTCTTGAACAGAGCAACTGTGTCCCTAGGCGTAATCATATAAAATTTCAACCAAATCTGTTCACTGGTATTTAAGTTATCAAAGATTACGTTTTTTACGAAAAATTGCCGCCATTTTGAAATTAAGCGGCCATCTTGAAAATCTCTTTTTGTGCGAAACTCCTTTGTCCCTAGGCATCAGCATATAAAATTTGAACCAAATCCGCAAACTAGTATTTGAGTTATTAAAGATTACATTTTTTTACGAAAAATGGCGGCCATTTTGAATTCAGTGGCCATATTGAAAATTCCTTCTCGAGCAGAGGTCCTACACCCATAAGGCATAAGCCTATAAAATTTTTAACCAAATCCGTGAAACGGTATTTGAATTATCGCCCGGACAAACAGACGGACGGACGGACGAACGGACGGACGGACGAACGGACGGACGGCTTTCCTATATCCCTCACGAACTTCGTTCGGTGGGATAATAACAGTTTTTAGTATACAAATTGAACATACAAAATGTAGCGTATTGATTACACGTTACAGTGGCGTAGCCAGCTTTCAGTCGGGGGGAGGGGGGGTGCGATCGTGGCATAAAAATGTTTTTGAAGATTTGTTTTGAATTTTACAAAAATTGGTGCAACTTCGTTCAAAATCGAGCTAGAAACTTCAAATAAAAAGCATTTTGAGACTTTTTTCTTCTATCTAATGGTTATATTTTCATTGGTTATGGAGGGGGGGTGCGATCGCACCCATCGCATCCCCCTGGCTACGCCTATGCGCTATATTAATATAACAAGGTTATCATATCATGCCAATAGTTAGATGGTTAACTAATATTAACACAAAATAATAATACACGATAATTAAAAAAATAAACCTCGGTATTCGGGCCTAAAATCCAAGGATACGTGTACCATTACTTCAGTGTAAGCTGCAATACCATATCGAATACCTGTACCATTACTCAATAATAACCACTAGTAAGACCATAATAACAAGCTGAATAACTAGCTTAGTGCAAGTTATTTCATACGATTTTGTCTTGTGTAAAATGCACACGTTTTATAACTGATATGGTTAAGAGTGGAAGGATTAATCCAATTTACAGTTCACCTCTGGAGGAGTCAACAGTAAATAAAAGATGAGCCTACCTGGGTTAGCTGAGCCTCATGTAGATCACTTAGACTTTGAACCTTGATGCATTCATGTTTCTTTTGACACAATGATGTCTGTAATTCCTGCTGCTGACTGTGTGCCTCGTCAAGTTCACCCTTTATCTGAAGTACCTAATCATTAAACACAAATAACATCCCTTTCATGTTCATGTTAAAATGAAATAATGTAATGCTAATGTAAAACACAAATAACATCCTTTTCATCTTCATGTTGAAATGAAATAATGTAATGCTAATGTAAAACACAAATAACATCCCTTTCATGTTCATGTTCAAATGAAATAATGTAATGCTAATGTAAAACACAAATAACATCCTTTTCATCTTCATGTTGAAATGAAATAATGTAATGCTAATGTAAAACACAAATAACATCCCTTTCATGTTCATGTTCAAATGAAATAATGTAATGCTAATGTAAAACACAAATAACATCCCTTTCATCTTCATGTTGAAATGAAATAATGTAATGCTAATGTAAAACACAAATAACATCCCTTTTCATGTTCATGTTAAAATGAAATAATGTAATGCTAATGTAAAACACAAATAACATCCTTTTCATCTTCATGTTGAAATGAAATAATGTAATGCTAATGTAAAACACAAATAACATCCCTTTCATGTTCATGTTCAAATGAAATAATGTAATGCTAATGTAAAACACAAATAACATCCTTTTCATCTTCATGTTGAAATGAAATAATGTAATGCTAATGTAAAACACAAATAACATCCCTTTCATGTTCATGTTCAAATGAAATAATGTAATGCTAATGTAAAACACAAATAACATCCCTTTCATCTTCATGTTGAAATGAAATAATGTAATGCTAATGTAAAACACAAATAACATCCCTTTCATCTTCATGTTGAAATGAAATAATGTAATGCTAATGTAAAACACAAATAACATCCCTGTCATCTTCATGTTGAAATGAAATAATGTAATGCTAATGTAAAACACAAATAACATCCCTTTCATGTTCATGTTCAAATGAAATAATGTAATGCTAATGTAAAACACAAATAACATCCCTTTCATCTTCATGTTGAAATGAAATAATGTAATGCTAATGTAAAACACAAATAACATCCCTTTCATGTTCATGTTCAAATGAAATAATGTAATGCTAATGTAAAACACAAATAACATCCCTTTCATCTTCATGTTGAAATGAAATAATGTAATGCTAATGTAAAACACAAATTACATCCCTTTCATGTTCATGTTCAAATGAAATAATGTAATGCTAATGTAAAACACAAATAACATCCTTTTCATCTTCATGTTGAAATGAAATAATGTAATGCTAATGTAAAACACAAATTACATCCCTTTCATGTTCATGTTCAAATGAAGTAATGTAATACTAATGTAAAACTTCTTTCCTCTCTCCATGTTAAACTTTGAATTAATTATAAACTACAGTATGTAAGCATGAAACATGTTGTATGCATGTCATATGATGTAGATTATGGAATAAAACTATTTATGAAAAAAATCAAAAAAAGAAACACAAATTGACAATTAAGCAGATGTTCACAGGTTTCATAGGTAAAGAGAAGCTGTACACAGAAAAATCTATGGGCAGTATGAAAGAATTAAACATCGGGCAATGGCTGATATAAATTAGTTTGATGAAATTCAAGGTTGAGACTAATCTTAACGTTGAGTTTCACATCGTTGCTGTATATGATTTGATTTAACAATCATATATGGATTGACTGCAGAGCTATTGTGAAGATCTCGCTTACAAAATTGAAATGCCAGGATCATTGAAATTATTTCAAAAGAATGAATATACAGAATGTTGGAAACAAAATATTCAATGATCACAATTTTAATTTCCTTACACCTAAACCTTAAACTTCTGAGATTTCTGATCAAATATTGAAGTTATTGAAGAAATATCCAAAGTTATTGCCAGATAATCTTAAAATACCTTTTCTTCCAGTAAAGATTTATGGTTTTCCAAGTTAGAGTTTTCATAATGTAGTTTGTTGACAGTCTTCTCCAGTGCCTTCTTGCTTAGTTCCAGTGTCATTATAGTGCTTTTTAACTCTTCATTCTCACATTGGAGTTGCTTCAATCTTTCACTGAGTGCAGCTTGGCTAAAGTAGAAAAATATGTCGGATGATTGTAATATGAAATTTATTAATGATATCAAGGTTTGATTTGTAGTATTATCAGATTTGAGCTTCTGAGTACTTGTACATGATTTTAAAAAAAAGTTGAAGCAAGTTGCAAAAATACCCTTTTTGACCTCTCATATATAAATCTGAGCCTTATGTCATACCTTTGTAACTTTTTATTGAGTTGCTCTGTCTCCCTGTAGAGTTGCTGAACAGTGTCCTCTGCTGCATCAAGCTGTGTCTCCAGTTGTCTGTTCTCCTCACAGAGGTTCTTGTTCTGGTGCTGTAGCTCCTCTACTTGACCAGTAAGGGCAATTACATCACTGGTTATTGGAATAATGAAAGTTTCTAAATTTCTTTTTTACAAAATCATTTAATCAACATATTACATTTAATGATCAAAGATTATAAGATGTTTCATATTGACAAGACTTGAGTGACAGATACTTTAATCATTTCTCTTCATGCATATTATGCATGGCTTATTATTTATAGTACAGTAAAACCTTGGAAAGTGGAACATCTTTTGAACCTCCAAGTGTTCCACTTGGGAGGTGTTCCACTCACAGAGGTTCATTTGACATAAGTCAATTGGTCATGAGACTCTCAAGTGTTTCACTGACAGAGCAAGTGTTCAAATCACAGAGGTGTTCAACTTCATAAGTTTACAGTAATTGCTTCATATCCAAAAGTTAATTTATTTCATAAAGAACCAAAGTCGAGTCTGTACTTAGCCATGATGTCCCTATATCATTGAATATTATGCCTGAGGTCTGTCATCAATATATATTACGACAGACTGAAGGCATATAATGACGTGCAAGTGGAATTTGGAAGAAATGAAACATGACATCATAGGATTGTCATGGTAAAAAGTTTGGCGGCTATACAGGAATATAAAGCCGACCTTCAGCTCCATTGACTCGCATACAAATGCTTCACTAGGTATGTAATACATTTATGTCAAACAGTCATTATGAAAAAAAACATCTGATTTACTCACACATGCTCTGATTGGCTATTTTGACCACCAGATGCCTCTAAACTCCCTACTGTATATTCCTGGGACAGATCACCCTCCTCTCCATAATGGTGCTCTGGGTAAACGTCCATAGACTCAGGCATGTGATGCTCCACATCTCTGCCAAAGTTGTTTTCTGAGTGCTTATGAAAAGCCTTATGAGACCCTAAAGCCTGAGACCCTTGCATATGTGGTCCTTGTGCTTGAAGCCCACACATCTGAAGTGTAGGCTTGGTACTATAAGTATGACTTGTGGGGCCAGGTAAAGGATCCTCGGGTATTTCATCATCACTTCTGAAATTAAATCCAAAAGTGTTATTATAGTATCATTTACTACTTGCTGAAATCAGAAATTTAGCAAGACCATCCAAGTCCATTGTTAAAAATTTGGACGTCATGTTATGTCAATGCCCAAGGTCAGCTATATAATACAAGAGAGAAAATGACCCTAAGTTTATCGTTTATTCAAACCGATTGTTTAGGGGTATCCGATAAGTGTTTCCTAATATAAAAGCTACAATTTCAAAATTCTACCACAAACCACCCCTACCCAAATAATATAATAAAAGAGCTCATGTGCGGTTCTTTTTAATCGTATGATTGAAAGAGAAAGCGCGAAAAATTCCACTAATATATTATAGGAATATCCTATGGTTTTGAAAAAATATCATTTGTATCCATGAGTGGATATAATTGATATTTTTGAAAAACCATAGGATTTTCCGTTTATCCCATGGGAAATCATCATAAGCGAAAAAAGTTGAAAAATATAATTTGAGAAAAAATTTGAAAAAATAATTGAAAAAATTTGTGAAAAAATGTTGAACATTTTTTTGGAAATTTTGAAACTTTTAAAAAATATTTTTGAATATAATTAAAAAATGTAAAAAGAATTTTTTTTTGAAAAAATTCGAAACCATCGAATATCACCTTTCAAACCATCGAATATCACTTTTTAAGACGTGATATTCGATAGTTTAAAAGTGATATTCGATGGTTTGTGAATTTTTTGATAAAATATGATATCTTGATCCACATATCAAATATATCTTCATGTGATATTCGATCTATATCCTTGCAACCATGGGATAAAATAAAACATCCCAGCCTCACACTGAACAACCCAGTGTATATAATTTGCATTTCAGCTTTTTCTTAGTAAAAAATTAATAATTTACCAATATTCTAAAATTACTAAATCCCTTAAATATGCTAAATTGTACATCTTACTCATGATTTGACTGTTTAATTTTCTGTATCCAGTTCTGAATGCAGCATCTGTATGTCTTGAGATCAATCTCGACATCAACTCCTTCAGGGTCAAATGTCAAGGCCAAGTTTTTAAGTAGTGACCTGGTCTATAAATAGTCACACAGAAACTTTAAGTGTATACTTTCCAGATCAACAATAGCTTTGCAATGAACATTTTTATTTCATCTTTAGGCTTTTGTAATGAGATTGCACTTTAAGTGTAATATATGTTTACTTAATTCGCAATACTATTTTATATTACATTGTTTTTTGAAAATATATATATATAATATTTGTCTTTTTTCAGGATTTCTTCCTCATTTTGTGAGATGTTTATGATTCTATAAAGATGGTAAAAATAAGCTGACAGGATTTTGGATATATTATTTTAAAGGTTCCACATAAAGTTGAAACCACTTTGGCTTTATATTGTAGTCTTACCCAATTTTATCAAAATGTGATATGTGAAACTTTGTTCTTAAATTTCAAAAAGTGGTTCAAGAAGGACTTTTTGTTCAAAAATTCTGAAATTTATTTAAAACCTTTTAGAGTTAACGCAATGGTTCAAAAGCGATTATTCACAACAATGTGTAGCATTCATCCTCATGTGTCTTTTATAGAAAAAATTAAGAAAATTGGTTGATAAATAAGCAATAGGGTGCACACATTTTTTAATATGCTAAAACATTTAAGTGGCACATTAGGTATGACATTTTAGTACTATACACTTAATTTGGCTCCTGTTTTAATTTGACGGATTGGCGGATTCAGAAAATCTGCCAAAATAATTTTCCGTCAAATTTCAGTTTGGAATTTTTGTCCAATGCACTTCAGAAATTAGGGGCCCCTTTTCCTGTCAACATGTCATCAATTCTACATTAATCCAAAAGAAATACAGAAAATATCTTAGTAAACACATGTCCTCATGACATAAACATCTACAAAAATTAAACTTCAGTCCTGAATCCGCCAAATTAAATAGCCACCAATATTTGAAATTGAGTAAATCCATCAAATTAAGTAGCGTCAAAATAAGTGTATACAGTATTCAAATAGTATTAATAGTCTTTTGAACGCAGTGGTGTAAAAAAGTTAATATGTTTTGCCCTGAATAGTCAAATATTTTATGATTAAAAAACTTTTATTTGAAATCTGAAACTTTATTTCCCATAATAGCCTCATCAATACCTAACAGCACCCATACTCTATTAATTTAACCTTGATTTAAAATTGCCAGATTTTCTTTAGCCTTTTTGAGGAAATTCTATTATCATATCACTGTCAAGTTAGCAATTGTATGATTGTAATCACTAGTCATTGTCATGGTTATCAATTTAATTTAGAGAACCAGTGAATATCTAGCCATGCATGGCGGTATTCACTGCTCCCAGGAATTTGCAAAGAAAATAATTTTGTTCAGTGTAAGTCATCATGGCAGACAAGAAAAGATTAAATGAATTTCTGACAAAGAAAAGTTAAAATAAATTGAAAATGTACACAAGTAAAAAGTTTTTGTTGAATGGATCGATTTGACTTGGAACATTATAAACTTGCAAAATGTTCAAAAATGTGAACTGAAAACAAAAAAAAATTAGAACAAATGCAGAGCCAACACAATGTCGAATAAATGCCACGGAATCAAGAGACAGTGACAGTTGATATAATAAAACAAATGTTTCACTCTACTTCAGTGAATACCTGTGACACTTTCACAAGATGATATCCACTAGCTTCGTGGAATATCACTTGTCTGTGAAAGATGCATGTATTCACCCAATGAGTGAAATACTTGTATAATATTCCCTGCAATAAACTTACCTCATAATTGTCTACAATAGAACACTGGAGATAATCTAAGAGACGAGAGGTTGGAACACTTTGTTGGAGTCCCCCTCCACAGCTAAAGAATAAGCAATCTATGACATCATCCTCTGTCAATCCTCCAAATGTGCCATTACCCTTTGGACTATTTTCTAGACAATTCTGGGGACTTAACTCCAACTCCTGTCTGGTTTTGTCTACTTTCATTTGGCCAAAATAGCTTGGTTTGATTCCCTCATTTTGTTTCTTCTCGGGAGAGTTGGTAAGCTGAATGGAGCTTTCTGAATTTGGATGAATTCTGGGAGATTGTTTCTCTTGGGTGCATTGCTTTCTGGGGGATTGGCTGCCTTGATTAGAACATGTGATTTTACTACTCAATGCTTGTCTAAAGGGACTCATTTCAGGAATGCTGGTTGCTGGGCTATCCTGTTTGTATGGCATTTTGGGAGTCAGCGTACTTTGTTTTTTAGAATGACTCATTGTTGTCTTGCTATTTGATGTTTGCTTGAAGGAACCATTCTGAATTCTGGGAGATGGACTCTTTTGTTTCATGATACTTTTTGAAGATGGGCTACTTTGTCCTGGGGTCCTTGCCATGATATGACCACTCAATGCTTTGCGAAATGGACTGCTAGGTAAGCCTCCTGAACCATTTTCTGAGCCCTGTAGGCTTGTCATTGAAGACTGTCTTCCATTTAATACAGGGCTCTTTAATACAGGGCACAAACCATCAACAAATCCACTCATTGCTATGACTGTGAATCAGGTTTCAGAAAACGAGACCTACTAATTTTTATCTTCTCCAGAATGAGGTCAATGTGTGATATCCATCTGAAAAAAAAACAATACATATAAATTGTATATTTAAGTATATAAGTATATTTTCTGCAGTGGCTTTTTTCTCACGTAGGAAAGTTCCCATGAATTTTATCATCTGCATGAGAGATTAGCTAGACTTATCTGGCCCAGCGGCCCAGTTATCTACTTTCCAACAGTCGTAGATCTACCGACATTTCAGATTCAGGAAGTAGATAACTGGGCCAGAAAGGTTTAGCTACATGAGAAATGTACGGATGCATGATCGCAATTAATCACTGTGCCAAAGTGTTAACAGTGGAGATTGTTCCGGATGTGTTATTTCACACAATTTGGACTTGTTTTTTAAAAAACTTGAGAGGTAGGTTGATAAATTTTGTTATAAAATTGCTGTCATGCTACAAAGTCTAACTTCAGGTACCCACAAACGCATTATTTGCACAAATCGTATGCTATAGTCTTGTTATATCGGAAAGTGAGCGATTCTGTCAGTGTTAGTATTTTTCTGATGAATCGATGTATATGTATTCATTGAATACAAGGTAGGCTAGTGATTTTCAGGCAAAAATATCATTTTTATCACGTTTTAGTGTGAGTACTCTATTATCGCTCACTTCATTTCTCGAAGTTCTGTCTTTTTTTACCGAATCTTCGGCTGGAGAAAATGACAAGTAGTGTTCTGGGAAAACAGGTAGCGAATCGCTACCTTTGCAACGCTAATTTCGAGGCCTGCCAGTGTCCTCATAGTATGTGTCACATATCATTTTAAAGCTTATCCAAAGTTACAATGATTTGCCAAGTATCATGGTTTAACCCCCAAATGGGAAAAAGTTACAGTCATTTTAAATGTTAGTGTTTTGTCAAAATAATGAAAATTCAAAATTTTGAAATGCCTGTAATCTTTTCACATTTGAGAGTTGAACCATGATACTTGGTGAATCAATGTAACTTTGAATAAGCTTTAATATGATATATGACACGTACAATGACAACATTGCAATATGTCTGCCTAGGGGGGGGGGGGCATACTTTCAGGACACCCTGTACATTGAGTGGATATTAAACTTTCATTCCATATGAAGAAAATGTAAATTTATAAAATATAGACGGAGTGGGAGCTTTTACAATGACCCCTACTTTTAGCATTTTATATAGAATGTTACGTCCAGTGTATTTAATGAGGGGCTAGGGCCCACCTTAAATCATCGATTGCAATATGATAGAATGCTTATTATACCCTAGTTTGGATCATTTTTTATATAAATGTAAAATAATTTGGGGAATCCACTAAGAGTTGGTTTCTCAGAATATATCGTTGTTGCGGAAATTACGTCACATTACATTGGATTTCCACAAAAGCGGGCTATGAGTATTACGTCATCAATGTACGTTGGATGACATGAAGACATTCATTGTGACATTTGTTTTGGGGGATTCCTGACAACCCCCAAACACTTTCACTTTCGTTATTTGAGAGCACTTTGACATTTATTTGAAATTCGAAAGTGCATTTATTAGATTTAGTTAATGAAAAGGAATCAAATTGATGGTTATCCTCAAGGAGTCGTTTTTTAATGTTTTCTAAGGCCTAGATAGTTATATATTAATTAAATAACACTAAATGCAGATTACTTAATTAAAGTATGATGGAATGATCCTAAAATAGATCCATGGGTATGAAATAGAACATCTTAGAATAGAAATAGAACTCAAGAATTGTTAGTTCGTACAGACGTCTCTGGTTTGTAAAATATGGGGTATTCTTACCTTTTTGCTCCATTCTTACAAACATAGGCAAAGGGTAAAGTAATAGTAAGCCGTATATAGAAGATCTGTTACTTTTCCCTTTGCCTATGCTTACAAAACAAGTCCAAATCGTGTGAAAAAAACATATCCAGAACAATCTCCACTGTTAAGACTTGATCACAGGCTGGTATCGAAAAATTTGTCCGCTGTGACGGAGCGTGCTATTTTGCATAGAAACACTAAGAAACCCACACAATTTATTTTTTTACTCATATGTTTCGCTATACCAAAGAAAGTTTCTTACTCCATGCAATGGGTATATCATTTGCGGGTAACTTTAACTTTTGTTTGAAGTCCAACAACGCTAAGAGTAAAAGCTATTGAAAACGGCGCCGGGGTATCCTACTCCAAAATGTGCCATTTCGTTTATTTCTTTTTAATGGTACAATATAGTGACACGATAATATTTACATATGTTTTCAGCATAACTCTGAAGGTATTAATGATATCTTGATGTATTGGGTATTTTTAATATTTTTTATAAAAAATAATGTTTACATTTTTTGTCAGCTGTGACGGAGCAGTTTTAACTGTGAACTACGTTAAGAATTTAAGATTCAAATTATACCTTTTAAAAGTACCCTTACAAGAGAGAACGTCACAAATCACTTTCCTAAATTATGACAAGTAGCCTCTGGGAGATCTGGGGTAATGTAAATCTGAGATATAAAAACGACCACTCTTAGCATTTTTCGGAGGTTTGTACTGAAATCAACATGAATCAACATGGTGTAAACTTAACATAATATTTCTAATACCTTTTCGCCAAGACGTCTTGGAATGTCACGTGTAGTGTAAATTGTTACGCGGAATATGGCATACATTCATGGTTGCGCGGTATTTGTGATACTCACCTGCAGTATATGGCATATTCCGCAGGTGAGTATGCGATATTCCGCAGTGAATATGTGATGCATTGAATTCAGTGAATACCCGATACTCACCTTCAGAATATGTCATACTCACTTGCGGAATATGCCGTATACAGCAGGTGAATATGACATATTCCGCAGTTGAAAAACGTGATACAGAAAGACTTGGTTTGATTGGTTGCGAGAATCGACTCTGTATGTTAAACTACCCTGGATTACCAATACTGTCAGTGCGTCGAGTACTAATATATGAATCCTGGATTGATTGGGTAAGTTTATTACGTGAGATTGGCGAGTGATACTTCTGCATACGTTGATGTATTCCTTAAATTGTACTGTTGATTTAGTAATCATTATAATAATTTATAAAGTTTTACTTGTTCGTTCAATCGATGCAATTGACAATTGCATACTTCCGTATCACGTTCTCATTGGTTAGTGTGTATGCCATATACCGCAGGTGAATCTGTCATACACCGCAAGTGAATATGGCATATTCGTTGCGGAATATGGCATATTTTTGTATCGTGTTTACCGTACCGCGTAACATAGATAGGGCTAATATGAATTATTTATTCGAAATAGCAACACAGACATCCTGCATTTCGACAGATGTATAACCTTTTACCACATAATATTACTGTATATAAGTTACCATAAAAATGACCATGTCAGGTGATGGATCCACAGTAGGCACAACGAAAGGCAAATACCCTATACTGAAATAAAGTTGACTATCGTTTTCATGAGTTACCATGCATAACTTGGATTACAGTACAAACTGAGAAAAGAAACTTAAAGAGTGGTCGTATATACATCTCAGAATTTGAATTGTGTACTTTTATTCCGTTTTATTTTTCAGAATACTTTACGAAAGAGATTTGATATGCTCCCTCCTCTAACGTGCAGTTATAAAGAGATATATTATAAATCTAAATTCTTAACGTATTTCAGATTTGAAACTGCTCCGTCACAGCGGACAAAAAATTTAAACATTATTTTTTATAAAAAAAATTAAAAATACCCAATACATAAAGATCTCATTAATACCTTCAGAGTTATGCTGAAAACATATGTAAATATTATCGTGTCGCTATTTTGTACCATTAAAAAGAAATAAAAGACATGGTACATTTTGGAGTATGATACTCCGACGCCGTTTTCAATAGCTTTTACTCTTAGCGTTGTTGGACTTCAAACAGAAGTTAAAGTTACCCGCAAATGATATATTCATTGCATGGAGTCAGTAATTTTCTTTGATATAGCAAAACATATGAGTAAAAAATAAATTGTGTGGATTTCTTAGTGTTTCTATGCAAAATAGCACGCTCCGTCACAGCGGACAATTTTTTCGATACCAGCCTGTGTTGATCATTGTATGAATATTTGCTAGATTGTCCTTCAGTGTTGATTATGTTGCGCAATAGTACTCATCTCCATTTTGAAGAGCTACAATAGCCATTCCGTGGCCATCAGGATTCTAGTTCAACCCCAGGTCCCATGGGTATACCCCATAAATGTGGGTTCGGATTGCTTAATTGAGATTGAAGGCAAAGCTTTTGCTATCACTATGACTATATGCATAATTTCCATAAATGCCAAAAATAAGAAAAAGTCAAAACACACCCACATGGCGAAAATTTTTTGGACCAAAATAGTCACTGAAGTGAACCCCCTGGAATTTTTCAAAAAGTGTTGACAAATCCTTGCTCCCGGGGGGTTCATTATATATATATAAACCTTGACGGGGATCCTCGGCGCATGTGGGGTACCTTTTTCAACGTTTGGTATGGCAATGGACCCATATTTTAGGATTTGGTATGGGAATGCCCGGAAATTTCTGACTTCTGAGGTATGGCAATGGTCGGACTTTTGCTCTTCTGGTATGAGAATGGTCGTTGTATATACGTTACCTAACCCTGCTGGAGTACTTCTTTTTCGATCAAGACTTGTAATTGTTAGTCGAGTGAATCGTTTTACTGCCAAATTCCAATATGGCGGTTTCTGCTCGGACATTTTCGTAAATCTCCGGAGGTTGTCCGAACCTAACTAATTCTCAAAATTCATTTCGTTCGTGGCGTATCTCGCACCTAGCAAACCGCCATATTGGAAATAGGTCTGTAAAACTTTAACTCGATGAACAATTTACAAGTCTTGATCGAAAAAGAAGTACTCCAGCGCTCCAATACTTACACGGATTGATGATACTGATGTAAGACACAGTTAGAGACCAAAAGTAAGCCGCGGATCGACTTAATTCAATTTCAAAGGTCACTATTGATCAACTGTTCACTTCTCCGTTTGAGAGCCATAAGTTTCAAAATCTAACATGGCTCTCGAAGTGAGTAAGCTTGGATACGCTTGTAAATTCCAATTTCCTTATTGAACTTGGAAAGGAGAATATAGACTACTGATTTGTCCTTGCCTCAAATCATAACTGCATACTGTCTGACTTATGACTTTTCTCTTGGCACTGGATTTAGCTTAGGTGAAAAGCATAGGCTAAGGGTTAAGTAATAGTAAGCTGTATATATAAGAGACAGGTCCACAAGTAAGATTGAAAATTATTCAAATTTTTTTAGTCTTGGCACTAGTTCTCCTTACTGGTATCAAATTTTATTCCAAAATTTCTCCAAAATCTTCTTCAAAGTGTTTTTCAAACTTATATCATTGTTTTTTTCAAATCTTTATCTAAAAACTGCATATTATACTGCATATAAAACAACAACTATGGAAACCTACAATTGCCTGGCAAGCTGAAACTGATTGTCACTGGTGGAGGTCAGGGAGGTCAGCAGTGACCAATCAGATCACTTGTTTACTAATGAACTTGCCAGGCAATTGTAGGTTTTCAGAAATCCTCTCTTTTAGACAGCATTATTCACTCTATATCATCTGACTGAGTTTCAATCTTAGGTAAGAGCTACAAACTATCAATTTTATATCAACTCCCCATGGCTTTTTGAAAATAATACACTAAATATTGTTGAAATCTCCATCTTAACAAGTGGTCTAAGTCAGAGTTGTTCACCTGTCTCTTATATATACAGCTTACTATTACTTAACCCTTAGCCTATGGTGAAAAGTGCTGATTTCATAAAAAGATCCAGCGCCAGTGGCAAGATTTTTTAAATCCACATGTTTACTGCTTCATAGTTTTTCACAGGTTCTTCCAATATTTTCTGTCAAAATATCTCAAACTTGAAAACATATTGTACTTACTTAAACAAGTATTTGCAGCTTTTATATAATTGTATGCTGATTTGAAGCAAACAGCTTCGACAAGTCGACTCAATCTGCCTTGTTGTCAGAACGTTTGCAATCAATAAACGAACGTCAAAACTTACGCGCAATGTCGAACGTTTCAATTTTGTTGATCAACCGTAGATACACTAAATTACTAATTTATCCATCTCAGGAGTTTCAAAGTCAAGTATGGCGTTTCTGTTTCCGTGATACCAATGGGCGCAACTTGGAAAGAATGTAAAAATGATATCGTTAATCTGTTGCATAAGCCGCTTTTCGCCTAACCCATGCCTAGTGATATAAGGAAAGCTGAGCAAGCAACTTTCCCCCCACGTAAAACAACCAAGAAGCGTCAAAAGACAATCTTTCATCGCCATATATAGAAAATGCCACGAGAGGGCCAACAGGGAACAATTCTGGAGATAGAAAAGATGGTCGCCTAAGAATCAAAACAGCACAACATTAATAAATTACAAGAAATCTAAAACACAGTTGAGATCACTCATGCGCAGCAGAAGCTCACCTGAAGCGGAAAACTAGGCTTAGCCTACTCATGTTAGATCATATCCCTGGATAACAAACTATTCCATACCCTAATTAAAAACAACGGAAAACAAAAAAAAACACTCTTTCCGAATTGCACTATAAAGTCAGGTCCATACCAACCCCGATGAGTTCTATGAAGTTTGGGCTTCCTACTTTAAGTCTAAGCTATCAACACCAGCACAAGACAAAACGTCGACATAAAATAGCAACAACAAGTGGAAAATGATGTGAAAGCCATGAATACCATATGCATCGATACGGATCAACAGTTCCCTTCACCTGTTCACCAGGAACTAGTGGACACCATACACCCTTTGCATTCGTTCGACTTCACTTTTTAAAGACGGAGCTTCGTCTTCTATTCGCGCAGGGTATGGATACCCTGATTATCAACATCTTAAAAAACATTATATTCAAACAATGATTCTGCAGATTCTTCGACATCCACGAGTCCCAAATATCCAAAAAGGACTTCTTTCCCCGTATTTAAAAAAAGAAAATTTCCTACCTACCACCTATCGTGGCATCACTGTTTCTTCCATACCACCATGGGCTCTGTTGAAAGCCCATGATTTTTTTTTTTTTTATTTATTCAATACACTTATTCGATACATTTACTAAATTCAATATAACATTTCAATACATTCAATACAACAAATCAATATATCTGCGAAATCCAAAAAAACAAAACACTGTTACCCACCATGTACGTAATACTATTTTAGTTTAAAATCTAAATACATTGTCTTAATTAAAAATTTCTAAACATCTTTTTAACCATATTTTCCGTTTAATAATAAAAAATTCACTATTAATCTCCATCATGTTTTCTAATGAGCTATCTTCTCTAAAGTAAAAAAGCATTTGATCTCTTTCAATTAAATTAGTAATTTCTAAATTGTCCCATTCATTTTTGAATTTACATTCTAAAAAAAGGTGTTCTTGTGATTCCTCAAGATTTTTGCAAACTTTACACATTCTGACATTCCATCAGATAATTTTTGTGTTTTCAATTTCTATTGCACCATTTATCACTTTATATATGGATTCCTTTACCTTATGATTTACATTTGTCTTAAATAGTACTCTATACATTAACTTAAATGGGATCTCACCATATTGATTTTTCCAATGGGCTTCTGATTTATTTGTCACTCCTCTTCTACTAACAATTTTCTTTCTTATATTACATGTTTTTATTTTCTCTATATTTTCCCCTAAAAAACTTATTTTTTCATTCCTATTGATTTTATTTGGATATTTTATCAAAGCTGCTCTTACTTGTATATATTGCATATAAACATCTGGGCCTCTGCCTAATTTATTAATTATTTCATTATATGCTAAACATTTACCTTCTATTATAAAATCAGACACATAATTAATCCCCCCCCCCCCCTAATCCATTTTTTTGTCATAAAGAACTCTTTTTGAAAAGTTATGTCCAGATTGTTCCAAATGATGTCACAATCTAAAAGATTTTTATTTTCAGATTTTGTTAACCAAATTTCTAACCCCCTTTTCCAAAAACTACTCTTTACTTGAAAGCCCATGATACTATTATCGAACTTGTTCAGAAACAGGATGAAGACCCCTATCCTAATCCTTGACCCTTAAAAACTCGAAACTCCAATTCGGTTTTACGAAGAACTTGCAATGGTTTTAAACATTATTTTGTAAAGTACGAGACGTATATATTATACAATTTTATGGTACAGTATATTACATGAACTGTCTTTTGTGTCAACGAAATATTATTTTGATAAAGTTCAATACATGTCCAATGACATTTTTAACCAGAAAATACGGTCCGGGATGACAGCTAAAGAGACCATAATTTGGTATTTATAGTCTACCCCGGACTTATAGTCTAACGGACCATATGAAGCACGGTCCATATTTACGTTGACACCGGTGTGAAGATTTAACTGTCTCCTGGTTTAAGAAAATATAATATCGTAGAAAAGTCTGATATGCCCCGGAGTCAACATTTCGCATTTGCGTGCATGGGAATGACGACTTTTCAAAAAATCATCAAAAGTTTTGTAGGGACATGTCACCTGGAAAAATAACAATATGGATTACAAGAAATGGATATTTAGAATGATAAATTGTCCACCTGTGTAATTCCGGACGTTGTAGCCTGGTTGAAAAAGTCCGGGACCACAAAAACGGATATTTACAAGAATAATTTGTCCACGTGTTTGTTTTCGGACATTCTAACCTGAGAATAAAAGTCTCCGGGACTTCAAAAATGTATATTTCAAGGATTATTTGTCCACGTTTATGTTTTCGGTCGTTTTAACCTGGTTGAAAGTCTACCGATTTCAAAAATGTCCATGAAACTAAACATGATGTTTTTTCATTTATTCCAAAAAAAGTACACTTACAAAGAATCGAACCACTGGACTCCTGGCCACTCATAGAGTTCTGTACTGTGTCCTACGACAATTATCTAACTAACTAAGATGAATGAGACAAACAACCACAATTTTTATTCTTATTTAAGAGTATCTTTATTAGCATATGTAAAAATGAAGGTCTCTCTGACCCAGGAATACAAGTCCGGGACAATATACTCGGGTATAAATGTCCAGGACATTGAATTCTTTCACCGGTGTGGAAGGAATAGAAGTCCATTGGTGTTTATAGTCCATATTCTTATAAATATAAAATGGTAGGAATGAAAGTCCTATTGAGATCATAAACAATAGGATTCACGATCACTGGGATCCATGTAAATCTAGGAAGATTCCGGGGGACTACTATTACTTTTACACCGGTTCTTAGAAGTTTCAAGATATGAGGCCTCTAAAAAACTTGAAAGTTTGTAGACAAATCATTTCTAATGTTTTGTATCCTATTCGGACTCCCGGCTGACAATCATTCATTTGAGTTTGTATCATTCATTATAAGCAAATCCGTTTCTAATTAAATTTCATCGATTTCAGAGATTTGGTTTGAGCATTTCGTTGCACTTCTTTACAATCGGAACTTTATTAGTTTGTATGAAGTGATATTAATGTTTTTACTCGGTTTAGCTGAAACCCGCCAAGGGATATAGCTATCAATAACGCAGGTGCGAGTAGGTAGTTAGTAACTACTAGTTACCAGTTTCACCACCAGGTGGCTCGTTCGGGTCAGATAGCATGGCGGGTATACGGTAGAAAGTTCCCCTTAACTTAAATTACATATGTTTTAGTGCAGGTTTAATATTCATATTACCCTTATGTATCTAATAATTATGCAAATTAAAATATGTCCAGTAAATGGTATCTGTACAATACAAGAAAGGATATTTAACCCGGAATCAACCCGAACTAGAAGTCACATTTTCAAAAAACAATTTTTTTCGAAGTTGATAAAAAAATTTCGAAACCATATTTCTAGGTGTACTTTTACATGTAGATTTTAAATATGACTTCACTTTTACTGGATTTTGAATATTTAGTGACGTAAATCGAGATTAGTTCTACTCGCATCTAGTCAATTGAGTTTTTTGTCCACCATCTTGGATTATACTAACTCTAGTTAGGGTATTCAAAGGGTCAATTTGATGTTCAAAGGGATCAACTTTCAAAACCTACAGATGAATGTTAAATTCCCGGTTAAATTACAAGTAGTATTTCCTTCCCCGAGGAGACTTCACTCTTAACCAATGCTCAAATAAGTAATCATTGGAAGCTGACATTGATCTCATATATTTAGTGACCATTGAAAGCTGACACCTATGGATCTCATAGACACATACAGAAGCTGTACATGGATCTCATAGATATATTTAGTGACCATTGGAAGCTGACAACTATGGACCTCAAATAATATTCAGCGATTATTGGAAGCTGACAACTATGTATCGAATTCATAGACACATACAGGAGCTAACATGGATCTCATAGATATATTTAGTGACCATTGGAAGCTGACACCTATGGATCTCATAGACACATACAGGAGCTAACATGGATCTCATAGACACATACAGGAGCTGATCGTGATAAGGATCTCATAGATATATTCAGTGATCATTGGAAGCTGACACCTATGGATCTCATACACACATATAGGAGCCGACATGGATCTCATAGATATATTTAGTGACCATTGGAAGCTGACACCTATGGATCCCATAGACACATACAGGAGCTAACATGGATCTCATAGATATATTTAGTGACCATTGGAAGCTGACAACTATGGATCTCATAGACACATACAGGAGCTGATCGTGATAAGGATCTCATAGATATATTCAGTGATCATTGGAAGCTGACACCTATGGATCTCATAGACACATACAGGAGCCGACATGGATCTCATAGATATATTTAGTGACCATAGGAAGCTGACAACTATAGACATTGATCTCATCTATAGACTTATCATTGGAGCTGATAACTATAGATCTTAAACATATTCAGTGATCATTTGAAGCTGAGAACTATTTATCCCATAGACATATCAGTTACGTTCAGAAAGTAAGTCAACATTCAAATTCGTATGTTCATCAATATTTACTGAGA